CGGGGGGGCAAAACTTCAATCAACTTGATAATAAATAATCCACGGACCACCAATGTAACGTTTGACTGTTTAATTAAATCAACTTAAAATGACTCAAAAACAGGCTACATTGTTTCACATGGGCTATAGCCTAGTATGGCTGTAGCCGACACAGAGCCGAACACACGCGATAAGAGCAGCCAGCGGCACCAACCATGAACAATATTAATATTAATAATACAGCTATAGCACAACACAACCCTCTCACTGCCTGGAGAGACGCGACGCCACACACACAACACAACGGCTCGTCTTCTTGTGTCTCTTCAGCCCCCAAGTTAACGTTAGCTGTCAAGTTAGCACTAGCACTGACGTTAGCTCCCTCCTCTCTCGGTTCTGTTGTAGTAGCAGTCACAACGTACGATGTGCTACCACCAGCTACATTCGGTTGGTCTTCTTGATCAGGTTGTTTGGCCGTCTTTTTAAAGAAATTGCCCAAGGTAAGTTTTTTTTTTCTTCTTTTCGACATGTCAGCAGCAGCAACAATGCCTGGTAAACATGCAGTGCTAACTAAACGAGCTTTGTGAGTGAGTGGGTAGTGGGTGGAGCTGCGGGCAGCGTGCAAGCAGGCGACACTTTTTTCATGAATCATAAACTCTAAATATAATTTCATTTAACTTATTTTACACCTTTGAAAAAAAAAACATGCCCAAAATGGAATTTATTTGGTCATCATATCAGTATTTTACAGAGCTCCCCCCAAATTTCACAAACCATGTTCCCAGGGGAGCTCATGTCACCACTAGGGGAGCTATAGCTCCCCCTGCTCCCCTCCAGTTCGCACCCTGCCCTTACCCACAATTTAAAGTAAGTCACATACTATCTCCTCTTTACTCTTCTCGCAGTCAGAACAAAGTGAAAAACAAACAATGGCATAAAATATTATTAATATGTCGGGTAGCTAGTAATAGATGTATTTATTTTCTTCTCAGAGTGTACCAGAATGCATAGTTTATGTTGAGAATCCCCCCAGACCCCCCTGCTGGGGTTGGGTTTTCAGCATGTGTGCCTTTTTATATAGTTCAGCTTTGATTCCATCATCTCATTAAACCTTTTTTAAAAGCATACTTTAGTTCTGTGAAGGGATATAAGCAGTACTCAAGTTGTAAAAAAAATCAGGGGGGATGGTGGATTTTATCATATGGGGACATAATTTGTGCTGATAACCCGCCGAGGGTGGGAGACCTACCAGCATAAAGATAATTATTATACTTAGGGGTGCACCGAATGGGAAATTCTTGGCCGAAACCGATACCGAAAATAGGAAACAGTTGGCCGAAAACCGAATGCCGAAAGGCCGAAAATGATTAATAGAAATATATATATATATATATATATAATGTATACATTTTTTACCAATGTTGTTCAGCTACCTGATTATGGAAATAGACATGATTATGGCAAAACTTAACTTAAATAATAATCACTATTATGGGTCCATAAAACATTTATTCAGCACTTTTGAATGCATACAGTACATTTATATATGTCATGTATTATTGCTAAAAAACATTATATCGCAGTCTTAGTGTCGCCAACTCGTTTCTAATATGCAAAAGACAACAAATGCGTCTATGATGTATTTTCGATCAGACGAGATCTCTCTCCCCCGTCTGTGTGCGAGGGGGCGGGGCAGTTTACACACACGCAGCTGCTACATGCAGCGGAGCACACTGCGGAGATGGCGGAGAGAAGGCGCTTCGAGGTGTGGTTAAACGTTACCCGTCTCGATGTGGAGAATACTTGTTACCATAAGTGCAATAAGAGTTTAGCATGTAAGCACGAACAATTTGTCTAAACATTTAGCAAAAGTGCACCGCATGCAGACGGAGGAATGTACCGGGTTCGACCGTCTTTCTAGCAGCTCTGTAGCCCCATCCACGAGTAACGTTTCCACGTCAGGTGTTATGTATGCTAGCAGCTACACGGAGTTAACTACATTATACAAACATGGGTTAATGATTAGAGGTAACTGAGTTATTTAGTTTGTTAAAATGTCAGCTATTCTGTTTACAATTCTGTCATCAGATTATTTAATACGATTTGTTAAAGGCTCAGGGCAATCTCGATGACAAAGGTCAATGTCCCCCCCCCCTGTGAGCCGCGAGCATGGTCGCCGCGTCTTTATTACGTCATCACAACAACACGTTAGGTTACCAACGTAAGCCTGTTCTGACATTCGGTGATATTTTTTCGGTGCTAAAACCCTTTCGGCCGAAAGCCGAAAGGGCCTTTTTAACCATTTTCGGCCGATAATTTTCGGTGGCCGAATATTCGGTGCATCCCTAATTATACTCCTAAAACAACATGCATGTTATGGATGTTCAGATACTCCTTTTATTGCTCTTGACCAAGTCACCTCAGAATTAGAGTAGAATAACATTTAGGGTCAAATGCAGAGGACAATTAGGGCAAAATATTTTTTTCACTTTAATTTAAAGGGGGGGAGGGAATACAAAAATGTGGTTATAATGAAGTATATGGTACAAATCTTGTAGGTTAACAGTCCCTCATTTATTATTCAGATGGATCAACTGATTATACTAATAATAAAGTCAAAATAGTTTTTAGAATATTGAATTATAGTGTATTTTTTCAAAAAAGCAGTTACTGGTATACGATTAAAACTGGTATCTAAAGGGTTACATTTGTATCGTAATTAATTAAATCATTATGTAAATTCTTCATGAAATTTTTTAGGAACAGGGCATTAAGTGCAAATTGAAATTGTTTACGAAATATGAAAATATATTAAAAGATTATACAGATAATACAAAATAGGACCAATGTTGTCAATGGCTGCCTACTCCACTCTCCCCCATCTCATAGAAGTTTCCAAAGATTTTCATAATCATGCTTTTTGGTCTCAATTTTTCTGGCTCTTGCTTTCGGATTGTTAGCTAAGCAATGGCTTTGAAGCCAAGTCTTGACATATACCTCTGGTCTGAACTTGTTCAGTGGAGGGCCGACACACTTGATGAAAAGCAAGGCTGACATGCTTTTTCACGTTCACACTCAGCTGTGGAGATGACCAGAGTGTTCACTGCTTGAAGGAGGGGTTTCAGCTCTACTGGTGCTGGTGGTATCATTTCATCAACAGTTTTGAGTCTTACCAGCTAGCTAACACGAGAGAAAAACGTAGCTAAACTCCAAACTAAGTTGTTATTGCTGCTTATGTCCATAGATTCCACCTTTGGTGACTAAAGTAATGAGTAATGACTAAGATTACTGATTATTGACTTACCTGAAATGTTATTTTTAGTATTTTTAAATATGAAGTCCCTCAGATCGCGTTGTCCTCCTGGTTGCTTGGCCATTGTGATGACCGTTACCTGCGCTTCTGGCATCGATCAAACAGGCGCATCACGGCGCTCTGGCGCCCTCTAGGGCACTCGCATAGTATAGCGTCAGTGACTCGGTAAAAATGTCATTGCGTGTGTGCGTGCTCCCTCCCTCACAGTATTTGACTCAAAATGCGCACAATTAATGTTGAAATAGCAGTAATACCAGTGCCACGTTCATTGATAAAATTACATAAGGGATGGCAGTTTTAGAAGGGGGGTGATTTTGACCGTTTTTATTTCAGGGGGGATGCTATCCCCCCTCATCCCCCCTCAACTCGAGTACTGGATATAAGGGATATATGCACTGTACTTCACTTTTATTAATATTGTATGCTGAAAAGCGTATATTACAGCACGATTTTTTGTTGAATAGATTTGAGTGCTTCAAAATGTTGGGTCGCGATGTATTGACCAAGTAAAAAGTGGGTCCCGAGGCCTGACCTGTTGAGAACCGCTGGGCTAGAGCTTGTACTGGCATGATTTGATTGGCTGACGCTTCCGTCGAAGCTTCAAAAGTTGAACATTGCTCAACTTTTGAAGCGAGCAACGCGAGCAAAGTGAAGCGATGCTCCCACAATGCAGTTCGGCAAAGCGTGACGTCACCCCATTCAAAGTGAATGGGCAGAAGCGTTGAAGCTTCAACGTACGCCTCCGTGTGGACGGCCTGTAAGCAGAATTCTAGGGTATCATGAGTATTTTCTGCTGTTTTATACTATATTTGAGTTTGTTTATCTGAACACCTTATTTCTCTTGTGCATTAAGAACAGTTGTGTTAGGGCATGATTTAACAATAAAAAGGTTATACAGTATAAAATACCACGTACTGTACGCCCTCCCATGCCACCCTGGCATGACCTCTTGCCCCCCCTTTGCCACCCCATGTAAAATGTTCAAGAACCGCCACTGCACACACGCATGCATGCACACACACAAATGCGTACGCACACACACAACAGTGAAGTAGTATTCAGATGCTTTACTTGAGTAAATTATCAATGCACTACTGTCAAAATTGAAGTTGAAGTCCTGCATTTAGAATCTTACTTTGGTACAAGTACAAAGGTATAGTATCAAAAGTAAAAGTAATCATTGTGCAGAAAAAGTGCCTTTATGTGTATATAATTATATTTATATGTGACCTTTCTAGATAATATGGTTGCATCACGTAGTTATGTTGTAGAGTAGACAAACAAAGTTCTGATTGACTTTTTGTAAAATACTTAAATAATTTCACTCTTTTCTGAGTTGCTCCACTCGTTTAGTTTTTAGAGATGCATTTTATTAAAAGTAGCTTAAACTGTTTGATAAAGGTAGTGGGGTAAACTTACATTGTTTCTCTTTCAAATGTAGTGGAATAGAGGTATAAAGTAGCACAACATGGAAATACTCAAGTAAAGTGAGAGAAGGCCTACCTCCAAATTGTAGTACAGTACTTGAGTAAATGTACTTAGTTACTTCCCACACACACATTACACATCAACATGTCATTTAGTGGGGTGCGTGCTATTATGCATAAAGCACATGCTAAATATTACAATCACCCCCCGGTCACTACAGGTTTCTGTCGGTTGTGCTCATGTGCTGCACACTGCTTATGCTGCTGCTCCTGCCGTCGTTAGCCGAGTATTGAGCTACCAGCTGACCTACTTTCTCTCAGCCACTCGGTCCTGTTTACAAGTCCCTGCCAGCGGAGGATGTGGAGTACAGTGCCTGGAAAATAGACAGACACAGCCCGCAACTAGCAAACACCACAAAAGGGACATTTAGCTGGTGTGTTTTGTTGATAAATGAGGACTGTCAAAGCCACAGACAGCTCACCGGCGATCAATAACAGCACGTTTTTAACTTAGGCGTTGTTATGCAATGTAACGCTTTCGGTGCTCTCGTGGTGGTGACGTTAAGCTGCTATGCTGTAGTTTAAAAAAATGAACAGATTGGTTAAAGTTAAGTGTCGACCATTCTTTCTTCTGGACACACGTTTTCAAGGTAGGTGAGATTTAATGTAAGCTTTCAGTGTCGCGTTGTTATAACATCAAAGTTCACCAGCGTTTTAAAGGAGAGGTGTTCGACAGCATGCTTAGCTTTTTTCAATTATGCTTACTCCTGTCAGACTGCTTAGGCTGAATATATTGTGTGGATTACGGGAGTCTTGTATGAGCAACGTTACAAGAGCTCTTGAATGCTGCTTACATGTTTTCAGCGCACAGTCATTCTAGTGCCCTCGTTACAAGGTTGAAATAACACATTTCTTCCCCCCGTTTGTACCTCTGCTGATGGTGACATGCATGGTAAAACACTGAAGGGATTGTCAAACGTCAGAGAGCAAAATGTTAAAAGTCACGGGAAAATAAATCCTTTAATAATTTCTCAACGGGTTTAGGTCAGGCTGATGTTACCCAACCTGGCAGCTTTAAGTCTACTGGAGTTCACATGTCTTTCACTAACCCACTGTTTTTCATTTTAGCCCAGTATTTTTGACTTCTCATTTGCACTTGACACAGTTTTATTACACAGAGGTCTACGGATGAAGTGTGACAGAATTACTTATTTACTATAGGCTGCTGGAAGTTAAAGGGTCATTGAGTGTACTCATTGGCCCACCCACTGTTTTTATGGCTAGGTGTGTAACCTATAGTAGCCAAGGGTTTCCTTATCAGTCAACAACAAAAATCCCCCCAGAAATAATGCTTTTACAACTTACAATATTTGTTTTAAACATTTAGAATTTTCTAAATGTACCCCATTGCAAATATATTTATTTTCTAAATAAATGCTAAGATATTGATAAACAAAGGACCACCAGATGAATTCCTGATCACAAAGGTGTTGGACATTGTGATGTTATCATGTACAGTATGTATTGTAATATTTACCCACAATAAGCATTTATGGGTAAATGAAAGCAAATTAGTGAAATATGATTTCAAATTATTTGAGATGTAAGATCAAACAGGCGTATGTGTCAAATCAATAATTTCCAGCTGAACTAAAACAATTGTCCAGCCCAGTTAATGTTTACCTGACAGATCAAAACCAGCTGCAGGGGGAGGTGGTCCGGCAATGTAAACTTTACACACACATACAGTAGCAGTCACTACTCCAGTTCTCTACCAGCACAACAGCAGTATCACACTGCAAGCTCTTCAGCTGGAACCCATTGTATTTTTGAAGACTGTTGAAGCGTACAGGTAGCATTTTCTCACAAGCACTCTGTCACCTGATTTATTAATTGTGTATGTGTGAGCAATGATACATAAGCTTGATAAACCCTCTAATAACTCTACTCTGAATGGTCAGCAGCACTTAATGAGTGGGTGTATTGTGTTATTCCAGATAGGGCTGGGTAATATATTGATATGAGACTGAATTTAATAATCAAACATTGCCTGTGTGCCGGTTTTCAAATCTCAATAATGAGAAACTGCTGTGAATATCTGAGCTGGTGAGACTGTTGGGTTCGAACTTGAAGTTTGAAGGGTCATCTTTACTGACCATTTCTGGTTTGTCGATTTCAAACTAGAAAGTATGCAACCAATATGGATTCTATATTGAAATATATTGAGAAAAGGTTTCTGAATGCAGAAATCCAGTATTGCCATTAAACAATTATTTTCCAGGTTTTGGTAACATTGCCTATAATGGCCACATTTGCCTAGAGATATGAAGAGGTCAGAGGTTAGATGCAAATTGTTTAAGCCAAATTCTAATATTTGGGTCATAGGATAAACCAAAGTACACTCAGAGAACGCAGACCTCTACCAAAGCTATTTCCATAAGTAAAAAATAATGCGTATATCTGCCTCTTGATACATAACCGCTCCAAAATGTAATGTGTTTTTCTTTGGTCTATACTACACACTTCCAGCAAGTTTTATGAAAAGCGGGTCAGAAGTTTTTCTGTAATCCTGCTGACAGTTTAATATGGAGGTAATTATCTGCCAAGATAATAGAAGCAAGCTTGCTCAGTATGTCACAAGTGAACAAAGTAGGTCTCTTTGCTCTTTGGGCTTCCAATAGATTAAAGATAAACTGCACTAATGTGAATGAATGAATGAATTACCCAGTAAACTGATCAACACTTAAAGAAGTCTGGGTGTTTAGCTCTTATCTGCTTCAAGACTTTGAAACTGTGTCCTTGTGACAAAACAGTGAGTCAGATCTGAATATAGTTCTCAGTACGGACATGCTGTGCATCCGATGAAAGTATGTGCATGCCATCCATATGGAAAAATCTATAATAAATCACATATGGCAGCAAATCGTTTTCAGCTCCAATCCTTACGTGCTGGGGCCGACAGACCACACCTCAATCTCTGATCAAACTGGTATTCTGTCTCTGACGGCTCTGAGGAAAATATCTGCTGTCAAGATCTCTCTCATCTGACTGACTGGTGTAAGGAACACAACCTTGTCCTTAACACCTCCAAAACTAAGGAGCTCATTGTTGATTTCAGGAGGACAAAAAAGGAAGTCCATCTCCCCCTCCACATCCATGGAGAAGCAGTGGAGAGCGTGGAAGACCTACGGTTCCTTGGAGTCAACATCTCCAATAAATTAACATGGACCTCAAACACCTCAAACCTGGTGAAAAAGGCACAGCAGAGACTGTTTTTCCTGAGGAAACTAAGACAGGCCAGGCTTCCACAAAAACTGCTGGTAAACTTCTATCGGTCGACCATTGAAAGCACCCTGTCCAGCTGCATAACTGTGTGGTACACCAGCTGCACAGCCGCAGAGCGGAAGGACCTGCAACGGGTGGTGAAGGCTGCTCAGCGCATCGTTGGGACTGAGCTGCCCAACCTTGATAACATCTACAAAAGTCGACTGCAGAAGAAAGCCAGCAGTATCATCAGAGACATCACACACCCCGGCCACTCACTGTTCGAACCGCTGCCATCCGGCAGACGGTTCAGGTCAATAAAAGCACGCACCAACAGACTGAAGAACAGCTTCTTTCCCAGAGCTGTGGCCTCCATCACTCCCATCCCTGTCCAACCACTAAACGCACTATAATATGCACACATACAAACACACTACTAGGGATGGGTATCGTTTGAAATTTATCGATTCCGATTTCGATTCCGGTTCTGCTTATCGATTCCGGTTCTTATCGATTCCCCGTTTCGATTCAAAAATTGTAAAATAAAGAGGTCAAACGTTTAGATAACAAAAATATATTTATTCTTAAAAGCTTTAACTGAAATTGTTACTAAAAAATATACATGCAATACAAATGTATTGCACAATAGCTGTGCTTTATTTTAACTGAGCTATGCCTGTGGCAAGCTATTAACAGGCATTACACTTTGCCTTTTATTTTTATTTTTTAGTGTAGTGGAGCCTCACTTCAGAGTGTTTACCGCGACCTATCTTTGGTGTTATGAAGTGACTGAGCTCGTGAAATGTCTACGGGAGGGCGGGGGAGCATCGCTGCGGGGCAACTGTGGACCTCTGTCGCCTGTCAGCGCAATTTATATGATGCCGTTTAAAAAAATGAAGGGCGATGCCGGCCGTCAGCGTACCGAGCCGGCCGTCAACGGCCCGCTGACGACCGGCCGTTCTGTGATTCTCCAGGTCCGCCCTGTATTCCACCGGGTCACCGCAACACCGCGGAGCAGACGGACCCGCTGGAATACAGGGTCTACCGCGTTTAGGAACCGTTAAGCAGAACCGAAATTGTGTATTTTGTATGGGTACCCGGTACCCGGCATTTTCTTATCGGTTCTCATCTGGAACCGAGTTTCGGTTCCCAACCCTACACACTACTTCCCATCAAAGACTGCAGCCTAAAATACCATGTTATTTATTTATATATTTATTAAGTATCAACTGATATTTTTTTAGTAACTATTTATATTTAAACATTGTAGCTTTATATATTTTAACATTCTGGTAAAGTGCATATGATGACCCTGATTATTATTGCTACTATCTCTGCTTTATCACTGTTTTTATGGATGTGTTCTTATTTATGTTATGTATTGCATTGAGAGATGCCAACTGAATTTCGTTGCACTGATGTGTGATGACAATAAAGATATATTCTATTCTATATTCTATTCTTCTGTTCCAAGGCTTCTACAAGCAATCGTTATCGTAAAGTTACTGATGGTTTCAGAAACAATCCGTATGCTCAAAAAGTATGCATCATTAACTGAGAGCCACACACAGGTGTTAGTAATCTCTAAAGGAGGATCTGACAGAAAGCATGACCTCATTTAATTTGAATCTGCATGAAAGTGGAAAGATGCGGGGAAACAGGGTTTTTTCAGATGTCGTTTTTCTCAAGGCATTAAAAAGACTCGAAATATATTTAAAAATATGCACTGTGCTAATGCTGTTTGCCTGGTGAGTAGAGTGAAATTAAATATACAAAGGAGCAACATTATATCCCACAACAAGCTATAGGGTGAGGTGTGAGGTTCGGTTGGTGACAGCAGGGGCTTTTCCTCCATTAAACTTTAAAAGAAAGGAAACCGACACTGCCTCCAGAAAAACACACAGTTATTCCAACCCCGCTTTTCCTGTACGTTTAGGAATAAAGCAATTTCTTGTCAGAGTAACAGTCTCCATCCTTTTACAGCCTGTTTACTTCCTGAGTTTACTCATGAACTTGAACTTCAGTGTACTGACTGTCATGAGTTCAGGTTGCTGGTTAAAGGCTTTAAATACTAAGGCACAAGTGTAATTAGACTCTGTTTTTTTTTTAGAGGTTAACCTTGCAAGGTGTGGTAGGTTTAACCTCATTACTTTAGAAGAATGCTGGTTGTATGGGAGGTTTTGTTTTACACAGCTTTGCAAAGGCAATACGTATAGGTTAACGTTGCATGCGCTATTCTTGATGCACTGAAAATTGCTTTTTTTCTCTATTAGAATTTTTTTGTAGTAGGCTAAATTGTATTACCAGCGTGGATTTATTTGTTATATGTTGCTTAAATGAAAATGTGTTTCTCGTTTTGTCAATACGCACCTATGTTTTTCATTTAGTTATTCTATCAACATTTTATGATACATTACAGTTCTATATGAGATAATTCTCAAGCTGAAATCAGTAGTTTGGCAGTAAGTGAGTAGAGCAGAGCAATTATTGCAAGTGTTTGCTCAGCAATTGCAATTTTCTTTGATGCTGATCATGAATGTCATGATCAATTTCGGAAAAATAGTGACCCAATTAAATAATAGCTCAGATTGTCTTTAACAATTAAGAGCTTGAGTCCTTGGCAGTTCAACCTCCTTTGGTGCAACGTTTTCTCCCTGCTGCTTTCCATTTGAATGGGTTTATGTGGATGGGAGGGAAGGAGGAGGTGTCGGGTTGTTAACAATAATTAAGACTCATGGAAAAGTGCGTTTCAATTATCCTGGTTTGTGCAAGTCATTCCTACCTTCTATGAAAGTAAGCCTGTGGGAACATTTGAGAAAACTGTGCACAGCAGGGACTGGTGGTTTTAGAGCATAAAGTAACATTTAGATTTTAAATGAGCCTTAGGTCAGAGTGACATGATTTTGGTTGAACTGTTTCACTCTTCTGAATTCTCTAATTGGCCATAAAAGGGGGCATTATTCACTGTTTTCAAATCCCTTATGAGTGTAGGAATTTCAGTGACGATGCAAACCAAAGATGAAACTGTACACATGTATCTTTGCCTTTAAGACAATCTAGGGATATATGTATACTTTTTCTTTAGCAATACAATGTTTATTGTGGTTAATCCTAGACATTATCAGCACATGGGGTTTACATCTGCCCATGTGATGATGTGAATCGTATACAACTGAAGTTTCTGAAATCAGCTGGCTGTCACGCTCCTTGGAACACTTGAGATGCAATGCCCTGCGTTTTTTGGGGCCAGATAAGCATTTATTCTAGAGTGACAGTGTTGAAAGGTGAAGATCGAGGGGATGACAAGGATCACAGGGAGCCTGTACCTGCCAGCTCTAACCACTGCAATCTCCTGCTTTGTCACTTGAAATGTACCTTTTTTCCAATTAGATTGTACATCCTTTAATCCATTAGCTATACCTGCTTATCCTATAAAGGTTTATTTGAGCCAATCCTTGCTGATATCAGGCAAGAGACTGAGTACATCCTGGACCGGCCGCCAGTCGATCACAGGGCAGAGGCACAGAGTATTCAGGGTTACAATACATCACTCTGAAGTTAATATTCCTCCTCTGACAATGGGTTTCAAATGTATTTTAAATTAAGGAAAATAATTTAGGATACATTTCCTGAGTTACACCACCAAATTCACTTTACCTACCAACTGCAATAATACCCTTGATATACAATTAACCTGTTAAGCCCCAAGGTCCCCCTCGGCGGGTACTTTTTTTTTTTTTTTCACGACACTGTGTCTCAGGGGATCTTAAGATTTAAGAACCTATTAATGTGTCATACCAGATTAACGGGAATCTCAGCTAACTGACGTTACAAACCATTTTTACCAAAACAAAACACAAGTCTCATAAGAAGCATCTAAATGACCCCTGCCTGAGCCAAAAATGCTAACGCACTTTGGCACAGAACTCAAGATAAAATATACCCTTATTACTTATCGTAGCATTCTTAGTTAAATCCATAATGGATGTTGTCTAACCTTGACAACAGAGGATGTGAAGGAGGCGGCTGTTCCACACTTTATTTTCTTTGCTGGGTTATCAAAAGAGCTTTCTGCCTCAGACAGTTTTCTAGGTCAGGGGAACACCTCCTGTGAAAAACACTTCTTTAGTAATGAAGTACTGTAACCAGGTAGTTGAAGATTGCTAGTGCACTTTACATTGCATTATTAATGGTTACCCAACAATAGTAAAAAAAAAAGATGATTGGAGGTTGTATGTCCCAAATGTCACCTGCTTATGTTTTCTTGGGTTAAATAACACAGCTCCTCTGCTAAATGACCACTTACAGGATGCTGTAATCCATTTTGTGTGTTTTCCCCCCAGGATTTGGCGTTTCTTTGATGGACTTGAGAAGGCTGTGGGCAACTGGTCCGTGAGATGTTTTTTCCAAAAGGGTGCTCAGACGAGGTCAGCGCGGATGGGACTAATGAGATCTGAGAGCGGGCCTGGCTGGGGACAGGAGTGAGCATGGACAATCTTTCTGACTTCGGGGGCACCTGTCCATCCACACACAGGGAATGGGAGTGAGTATCCAAACTAGTTCACTCTGTGATCTCTATTGTTCTTCTGTTACACACTGTACTTTATACGTTCACATTTCTATTGTCATACAAACAGTTCTTCAAAATGTAGGTTATTCCTCATTAAAATGTTGCACTAGTAAATATAAAAGGGGACAAAAACCTGAGCTGGGATACGTTGGGACTTTTATTTCCTTCCATGAAAGCTTTATTCAAACTATAATTTTAGCCGTTTTCTGATGCACACAAAAAAAAAAAAGTTTCCTTTTTAATTATATGAAACACATCTCTTCCCTCCTAAAGTATTTCGTCTATGATCCTTAGAAGTACCTCTGGCTTATACAGTAGACCTAAAGTAAAATAGCTTTTGTAATTTTGTCCTCGATATTATCTCAATTCCTCCTCTTTCACTATTTAATATTTCAATGGTAAGTTAGATGAGAATGTGAGTTCACTATTAATTAAGGAATAGATCAATTATAGTAAACAAGTGTATGGGTGAAAGGGATTTCTAAAAAGGATCCTGAGAAATGTTTTGCAGCCTACATTTAAAATGTACAGCACCACAAGACACAAGAGAAAATGTTAAACAAGTGTTAAAATACATTCCAATAATTAATTCAGTAAATGAAAGCTCCTTACAATCGAAATAATTGGTGTCATGCCAATTGTGTAACCCCCCAGCTATATAAATATAGATATATTGAGTATAAAGTACACGTTGAGTTGCCATCTGCAAAGCAGGGAACATTTCTCACAGATGTGATCAGAACACTTACATTTGCGGGATCTGTGATCATTTCTAAACGACAGTTGGAAATGTATTTATTTACATTGGCTAATTACAAGTGTTATTCTTATGTTTTTTTTTTTACTAATTCTCTAATTCTAATGATCTTCTTGTTTTTAAAGGTACTTCTGCTTAATGTCTTGTATAAAAAGTCCTCATAAGAATACATCCTTATTATTACTCTTTATGAATATTGATCTAACACATGCAGAGTTACACCCACACATAGAAACCAGCAACCATTATATTTCTGACTTCTGCTTGCTTTCAGTTTCCATTATGCACTGTATCTCATCTTTCATTTAGAAAAGCCTTATGCCCCTCATGTATGAGCGTGGCTTTTTTAATGCTCTGGACACACCAATAGCTCACTGTGCACATGGAACAAAATGTGGTTTTACCATTTGTTATGTGCATTTTCAAATGATCGTACCTCATTACTCATGTAGGAAAATATAATTTAAATTAAAAAGCGCAAAATAAATCTAAATCCTAAAGTAGATTCAAGGGGTTTTTACAATCTGAACAGCATACAACAGCCTCAATCCTTAAACCCTCAATTTGGATAACATGAACTCCCTTTATAGAAAAGCCCTTCTTTGAAGAAAAAACGAGGAATCCTGAGGAGTAACTGTATATATCTAGACAATATTACCATTTAGGTATTGCAATTTATAAATAAGAAACAGGCATCTTATGTGGTCTATAAATACATAAAGTATAGAGTTTGAGGCAGGCCTTAAACTCAAACCTGAATCTTTAGAAATGGAAACTCTCTGGACCTAACTAAGAGCAGAAGTCTGGTGGCACTCCTTAGAGTTGTAATCTGTAATATGCTGTAGTAACATGCACAGAGTAACTCACAACTGGCCCTATTATTCAGGGTAAAGTCTTATTTGTACTAGGCTTTATGACTTTATGATTATGTTTATTACCATTGATGAACTTGTGACAGATTATGAAAGTCCGGCCGTGCTGCCCCGGCCACAGATAGTAAACACCTACTGGCAGTAATGTGTGAAAACGATAAGACTAGCTGCTAATAAACCCTCTGCTCTGTGACACAGCAGGAGGTTGCATACATCAAATGTGATTCCACATGTTGAACTTGCTGCCATATTTCCTGCTATGATCAAACAGTGTGAGCCTGAGTGTGCATGAACCAAAAATAGGAAGTTTGCATGCATGACCCGTTAAATAATACAGGAGACAAACAAGGCAGCTCATCTGGGTTACCGGGTTATTTGAATAGAATCGTGGCACTAAATGTAGCCAGTGGGATTACAGTGTGTCTCTGTTTACATCCTTAATTTATCCGACTCGCAGACACATTATGACAAATCACAGAAGATACAGCACATGTACCAAATGATTGAAGAATTCCATTGAGCTGCTTCGGTTTCAGTGTCCTAGTACTGAAAACACTAGGACAAGTAAATGCTTTAAAGGTCTATTGTGAAAGGGTGAAAAATGTATCATGACTAAATGTAAATGCTATTACCTGATGGCCCTTTTAAATCATCAAATAATTTACATTTGTCTTGTCCCCCTGTGTTTTCCAGCACCAACAGCTGTGTGGACGATTTAATGGATGAAGATGAGAAAGACAAGGCAAAAAGGTATTTCGTTTTTCATTTATTTCATAAAGGAAGTCTGTAATATCTGAGTAACATACAGGATGTTATATTAATGATTATTACTAAATTCATTTTTAGTTTCTCTGTCTGCCTGGAAAACATGCATCTTTTGTGAAAGTCATCCTTTTAAAAAAACCTTAAAGCCTAATCTCATGTCATGGTTAAGAATGAAATCCATGGAAATTCAAGTATTTCCGAAATAGATTCAGGTAAAACTGCGCTCATGAGTGGTAATGACTTTGTTCACCTCTTGCTCCTCCTTCACACATTTCTAGACATTCATTAATTCTCAATGTAAGAGCACCAGCTATAAAGTTATCCGCTGTATGACTTCTTTCTTTTAGATTTGTATTAAAAAAATATATTTTCTATGATTGCTGACTGTCATGTTGGAGAAGCTTTGTTGAATCTTTACAAATGAATATGTCCCGCTTCCCTGAAGATACCTTCTTCCGACTAATTTGACTAATGTGTAATTTCTGGAATTACATTTCTTATTACATTAACCTTAAATTCACTAAATGGTACGTATGAATGTACCATCTCAGATTAGTCGATCTCAAATCACAACTGAATCCTTTTTCTTGTAAAAGCTGCATTAATAACTTCTTGGTACAGAGGGAATCCAACACAAGCTGACAGACACACCGCTTTTGAATTGTTACCGCTACATATCTAACGGACGGGGAGCAAAAGGAGTATTCCTTTGGAGTTGTGTTTTGACCACCTTTTGTTCCTAATGTAAATGTAAATCTAATATTCTCAACAAAAAAAAAAAAATCCTTCAGCTTTCTAACATCGTCTTTCTGCTGTTCGCCATGTAACACTTTCACACTACTTTCCTAAACACTTTTAATACTGCTCTAAAATTAAGTGTGGCTGTGACCACGTTTAGAGCCATAGCTGATGGAAACACATTAGGAAGGATATAAATAAAAAAAGAGGCTGTTCAGTTAAATACTGTGTTCTGTATTATACCACTCTTGTCACTGGTTGATCATCTATTTTAAACAGTTTTTATTATTCCATCCATCTGCAACCAAGTGTGTCCTTGCACTCTTGGCTAGCTTTTATTTGGTAAAGCGCTGAACAATCTGACAAGGATTTAAATGTTTAAGAACAGGTTCTTCATTGGCTTGCCTTGAGATTTCACTGATTTGTGTTCTCTCGGGTGGACTTCCGTAGGGCGTCTCGTAACAAATCGGAGAAGAAGAGAAGAGACCAATTCAATGTGCTCATCAAGGAGCTATGCACCATGCTGCAGGGCCAAGGCCATCCGCGCAAGATGGACAAGTCCACCATACTGCAGAGGACTATCGACTTCCTGCAGAAACAGAAAGGTATGAAGGTACAGCATGTAGGCTTAGTTTGGGAAATGTTCAAGGACTGTATGAGGATGGTTTTTACTTTCAAACTTTTATACATGTATTATTACGTAATTATTCTCACTTAATCCTTTTCTTTTTCAGACATCACTGCACAGAACGAAACCTGCGATGTGAGGCAGGACTGGAAGCCTTCGTTCCTCAGCAATGAGGAGTTCACTCAGCTGATGTTGGAGGTAAGGCCCAGGAGGAACAGCCTGAGTCACTTTAGCTCCAACATTGATACATATGTGTTATAAATAAAGCAGGAAACACTCTCCCTAACTTTAAAGCTACACACTAAATAATTAGTAATGCATATAACTATTACAGATGATGAGATGTGGAATGGTAAGCATTCTCATTTACGCCTTCACACATTAATTTCTCCTCCTTACAGGCCCTCGATGGTTTCCTAATAGCATTAACTACAGACGGCAACATCATATACGTATCTGACAGTGTGTCTTCACTCATTGGCCATTTACCGGTAAGTGAAGTAGCCGAAACAACTTTTACTCTATTGCTAAAACTCATTTGTTTTCTGCTCTAATCCTTTTGTATTTTTTGTTCCCAAAAAACAAAAAAAGAGAGTTTGAGTGCTACATAGAGATTTTCGTTCAGGGCTGTTAACCTTTATTGTGTTAATGAGAGAAAATTCATTTGATCAATTACTGCATGTGCTGGTTTAAGTCTGCCACAGGAGTAGAAATGGCGTTATCCTCCAGTGTGAGAATCATGTGACCTGTTGTGTTGCATAAAGGCCTTAAAGACTGACCGTCATGCACCTCTCCTTTTTCACCAGTCCGATATGGTGGACCAAAATATCTTGAATTTCCTCCCGGAGCGGGAACACGGGGAGGTGTATAAGCTGCTATCATCCCACATGCTGATGACTGACCCCATTGCTGCTGACTTTCTTGAAAGTGAGTACCTGTCGTCTGGTTCCTGATTGTTTCCATCACCAGGTAGCGTCCCACATCAGGAGTTCACAGGTTCAGTATGTTAGAGCAACACTGTGTACATAACACTCAGGCGAGGTATTTTCCCGGTTAAGGTCTTTATATTTAGAGCAGGTTGCTGAATTTAGGTCTGACGTTTATTGGATTGCTGATCTTTTTTGTTAATTATAGGGGCTAGCTTAGTATCATAGTTAAGACTTTAAATCACTGTTATGTTCACACAGTAATCTAAAGGAATGTAGTATCTGGGGCTCAAGACACTGACCTTAATCCCGCGTTACTATTGGACTTGTCCCAGGAAAAGAAACTTGCGAGAAGCTCATGTCTTGCCTGATACTTAGAAGTCTAAATAGCGAACAGTCCCAGACCATGTCTGGAGCCATTGTGACGTCTTTGCCACATTTAGAAAGACACAACAATCTTTTGTCTTTCCTGATCGTTTTGACAAGGTTGGACATTTTATGAAGGTTAAAACTCAGCTGCTTCATTAAATAAAATAAAAAACACTCAGACTATTAAGGGCAAAAATGTCCCATTAAAAAAATATTGATCCCACCACCACAAAGATAGTGTTTCAGATCTGGTTTCAATATTTGACTTTTGACAATGTTCCCCCAGATTGATTTTTGATTTTTTGTCCTTTGGGTCAAATACTCTAAATTTTCCAATTGAAAATAAAAATTCCCACTAGCATGAAGTTCACTAAAAAATCACTACAACAATGGCATATGTTAACAAACTGAACATTTCAGGGTTCAAATTCTGGAGAATGTATGAATATGTTGTAGTTTTGATCAGAACTGATGTTGGTTAACCCATTTAACTCAGGAGAAGGGGTATTATCTAATTTTTACAATTTGTTATGCAGGCATGTTTGTCCTCTAAGGACATCAGAGCAATTTCTTTTAAAGAGAGGCACAAGGTTTAAGCAAAAATAATTGATTATAACGTAAAAAAAAGCTGTTTTAATGAAAATAAAACGTGCTGTTTTTCAGGTGAGGAACATATTGAATTTTGCTGCCATCTAGCCAGAGAAAACATTGACCCGAATGAGCCGGTTGAGTACGAGTACGTCAAGTTTGTTGGAGATTTCAAATTCCATAATAATGGTAAGGCCTTTTATTTTCTTCCTGTTTCAATGTATTCCAGTTCTTTAACATTAATGTCGTTTTATGTAAATACTCATAATCAACTTAAATGGAGAAAATCTATATATTTAAAAAAGTAAAATTGACCAACCCACGATTCTCGTGCTTGTCATGCAGTGCCTACGTCTTCTTGTAACGGGCTGGATTTGACGTTACCAAGAAGCCTGCAGACGTCTCTTGAAGAGCAGGTTTGCCTCATCGCTACTGTACGATTAGTCACTCCGCAATTTCTAAAGGTAAGACCAGATCCAAATTCCTGTGCCTTTCTTTTCCCCGCATTTTTGGCATCAATTCTCTCAGATGAATAAAACAGGTGGTGCTGGTGACGATGATAATCAAAATGGTCTGTGGTCTAATGGCATGAGTGGGAGCACACATTTTGTTACATGCAAACTCCATTGTTACGAGCATTCTGGAGACTTCTCTTTTTCAACTGATTACATCATTAGATTACAGATGAATCCTCCCAAATGTGCTCTCTAAGAGGACATCTGGACAGTCATTGAAGTAAATTGAAGCCCTGAACCTTTCTGAGGTCTTTAATGTTCAGATCAAACTTAAAAGAAAAGTAAGATGAAGCTAAAGACTAAAACATTGAGTGTCTATCCCAGAAGTCGCGTTAACCGAATATTTTCCGTCTATGACGGATTTTTTTTAACAATGACGGAAAAATCTGAAAGCAGTCCGTCATTTTGACGGATTAGAACAAACTCAGAACAGCGCCAAAGTTTCCCCGCAGCAGGGCTCCGGTGTTATGCCTTGTTATGGATGCCCGCCAAAAAGGAAATTATATATTTTCCAGAGCTAACTTTGCCGTACAACTCATTGAAATGTCTGGGAGTTTATGCTTTACGCTGTGGCGCGCTCCCGCGAGGTGCAGTGGGCATGCATAACACACAGCATAACACCGTCACTAACAGTTCACGAGCAAGACACAGACACAGATTTGCCAGATGGAAGGACTGTTACAGTCAAGTCTGGACCATATGACACATGGAATATTTTTTTCCTCAGACACAAGACAAATACTCCCTTTAATTTGCAGTTATTTTTCTCCAACTCCAAACCTAGCATATTTTTCACAATTCCTCCCACAGAGTACTTTAAGTTGTCACATGCGTTCACCAAATTCTTAAATGTTAAAGGTTACAGCTTTAAGGCATTGATGAAATAATACAAATACGATGACATGTAAAAGATAAGCTGAATTTAGTAGATGAGGCTTCAAATGCTCGAACTAGTACTTAGACAAAAATAACATATTATAGGATTGGTAACTGCTTTCTTTGCTATAAAAGCCCATAAGTAACATTCTCTGTATTTTCTGTTCAGGATTTATGTAATGTGGAAGATCCTTCTGATGAATTCACATCCAGACACAGCCTTGAATGGAAGTTTCTGTTTTTAGATCACAGGTAAAAATATGTATATGATGTCTTCTCCTATCAATAATCAACATTATAGCTCACACCTATTTAATCTTCTTTTTTATCTTCAAGGGCATCACCAATCATAGGATATTTACCCTTTGAGGTTCTTGGCACTTCAGGCTATGATTACTATCATGTGGATGACTTGGAGCTTATAGCTCAGTGTCATAAGCAGCGTGAGTATTTCTGTCACTCCTCTTTTATAAACCACCCTCAGATTAAAATTGGTTTTGGTTTACATTCTTTATTTTCCTCCACAGTAATGCAGTTTGGAAAAGGTAAATCCTGCTACTATCGCTTCCTGACCAAAGGACAGCAGTGGATTTGGTTGCAGACTCACTACTACATCACATACCACCAGTGGAACTCCAAACCTGAGTTCATCGTCTGTACGCACACTGTCGTCAGGTAGGCCTATTGGTTTAATCCTGGGGTATAAAATATATGCAAAATGAAAGTAACATATACATTTTGTGTCAGTTTCCTTGGATTAGGGAAGTAATGCACCGGCTGTTGGCAAAAAAGTTACATTTACAACCTTGTATTTGGGTCATAAAACACAATTTGACTGGGGATAGGGTTTTATTTACAGAGAAAAAACTCAGAATTGTGCACATTTTCAAATAATAGAACAACAGTATTTGAATTTAAATTGAGTCCCAAATGTACGAGAAAAAAGAAATGGGACATTTTGCGTTTTTGAATCTTTTCACCAAAAATGTACCCATTTTAGCTTTTACCTAACCCCCCTGCTCTATATATTTTTGTTTTCAACCCTAAATTGCCATAATACAGCATTGTATATATTTGAAATACAGCACACTTGTAAAACAATCACATTTTCGATTCTATTTTTCAGTTATGCTGAAGTGCGTGCTGAAAGGAGGCGAGCATTTCGCTTTGAAGAGCTGTCTCCACCTGGAATCGCTCCCTCTTCAGTGAAGGTAACAGACATGGGTCCTTCTACGAACAATCAGCAGCTTTTCCCAGGTCAGTCTGTATGTCAGATTCAGATGTTGAGCATCCCTCTGTGTTCCAGGCTCAGGAGCTGTACCTGGACATCTGCTCCACTCTGGACCCTCCACGGGACAGAACGAGCGGCGCACGTTCGGTTTCCTCCCACAGCTCCAGGAAGTCCTCCCCCACAGCAATGTCAGACTCCGCATGTGAGTCATCCTCTGCTCCCCAAAGTGCTGACTCACTCAGCAGCAGGTGAAAATGTACAGAAATCCTGCTCCTATATAGCTGAACGAATTATAGTTTTTTTATTTAACTGAAAGAAAGGAATTATCTGCTGTTGCACAACCGTTTAAATATTTTCCAACCTGAAAGTTGATCTGAAAAGACTTTTTGAGTAAAAACTTCTGTAATCTAGCAGAACAAAAGCCAATAAACCACCTACCTTTTTATACTGTATGTGGGTGACGATGCACCCATAATGAAATGTTTAAAGGCTTACTTTAGCGCGCCCTGCTTGTGTGAGCCTCTAGTCTCGCTGCTCTTCCACCCACCATCTAATGTACTAAAACGATTTACTGCCATCTGCGTGTTTATGAACAATTGACAGCTGCAGACTCATTGCAGACGCTGTTCATAAATATAGCTGCTCTCTTACCACACATGAAATAACTCTCACTATTTCCAAAGATATATTCATGGAGATGGTTTTTCTTCGCTTCTCTTTTCTGGCCGACTAGGATCAAATAAATTATGAATGAGCAGTGTTGTTACTTATTAAACCACAAAAGGAAATGCATTATACAAGATGTTCTGCCTTGACCATAGTGCCTCTTCAAAGGAGGAATCGACAGTCCCTTTTTAAAGAGGATACATAATATCCTGTTTCCACTTTTGTCAGGGTCACCCATTATGCAAAATCCACTTTTTCATGTCTTTTATACATAAACATGTGTCCCCTCTGTGTAAAGAGATTCTGAAAGTTTCAGGAAAAAATATTTGCTCACTTTTTGATCCATTTATATAAAAACCTGTCTGAAAATGAGCTGATTAGATTTTGGCCACTTTAGCCAATTAGCCAATCACCAACCAAGGTAACACCCCCCCACCTTATCACCTGAATCTAACCAAATACCTCGCGGAGGGGCGTGGGGAGTGGCTCCTTATTTTCATCTAAAGTAACAGACAGAGCAGGGCCGGTTTTTGGCATAGGTGACATAGGCGGTCGCCTAGGGCACCAGATCTGGGGGGGGCGCCTCCCTGCTTTATGTTACAGCCCACGAGCCGGGTTGTAACAGTGCTAATCCTAATTTTCGGCCTAGATGTAACAATATTCATAATTAAGTAAATGTAACACCCTTTTCACCCCGGTTACACGTTTAATTTGCCCTGTACGATGGGCGCTGTAAGTGATGAAAGTGGGGGATGTTGGCTTATCAGGCGCCCGCAGCTCACAGCCAAAGTGCGAGCGAGCGCGGGAGGGAGGGAGGGAGAGAGAGAGAGAGAGAGGGTGCACCGGTACCGGCGCTGTTGTTATTAGCATCTGGTGCTAGCTGCTCTAACGGATTTAAGAAGTAGATGTTTCTACAACCAGGGTGGAGGAGAGCTCTCCTGTCAGACTGGCTCAGTGAGGTAAAGGACTCTGAGTGTTTAGTTAACTTTAGTCTAAGTTATCTCAGTGTCAGGATTCTCATGTTATGTCACAGTTGTAGTTTTGTATGTCTGGTTCTATTTCGTATATGGCTTCGCCCTCTAAGGCTATCGCTATTGGGTTTACCCTTCTGCGCCCCCGCGCAGTACTGAAAACACTTGTAGTCCACGCCCACCCGCTAGGTGGGCCCCACCCGCTAGGTGGGCCCCACCCTCGGGCCTCCTTCCGGTATAAATAGGGAGGTTGCCCGGCGATCTGCTCCCTCTTTTCTTCAGCAACCAGCAGTTTACTGAAGCACGAGAAAAGCAACATCATGAGCAATAAAGAGTGTGTCCGTATGTGCCCTTCGTGCAATACGGGCTACATTATGAGCTACGATTTGCATCCGATATGCGCAGCCTGTCTGGGGCCAGAGCACGCGGACGCGGCTCTCAGCCAGCAGGTCGCATGTCCTCACTGTGTGCGTCTTCCTTCATCCGACAGGAAGCGAAGGGCGGACGCTCTAGCTGCTGCGGGTGAGGAAGACGTCTGGGGTGGGCAGGAGCCCATCCAGAACACACCACCGTGGCTCCAGAGGAGGCGGAGGAGATCGCTAAGGCGGCCAGCACGGCGCTCTCGCTGTGCGCAGCCGTGGCGGTGTCCCAGGCGAGGATTACAGCCTGGATGACACAGATCCAGCGTCACCTCTGGTTACAGCAGGCAGCGGTCACAGAGCCAGCCAGGAAGGTTTTACTGGACGCTCCGATCAGCTCGGACGGGCTGTGCGGGCCCCAGTTCCTGGCCATGGTTGATTCCATGAAGGCGGCATCGGAGCAGGCGGAGGACATCCGCCAGCACGTCGGCTGGCTCCAGCCAGCGGTGAAGCAGCAGCGACACCAGCGGCAGCAGCAGCAGCCAACCCGGCCACAGCGGCAGACGGACAGACACCAGCAGCAACAGCAGCCGAGGCGTCAGAATCGTCCGTCAGCGGCGGCCGGGGCACCGGCCCACACCTCCAGGGCACCGTCCCGCACCTACGGGCCCCCACCAGAGGGGGGTAAAAAGGGAGTGAGATACTCCCGTTCGGCGTCTGCTCCATGAGAGCCGCCGAGGAGACAGAGCGGCCTTGACGGTTTGGGAGGGAGTGTGAGGAAAATAAAAAGAAGCTTATTTTCCAACATGTTGGCTGAGTCATCAGTTTCAAATGTGTTTCACATATCCCCCACTCTGGGTAAACCAGCTGCCTATGACCTATCGGTTAATAGCCAGCAGGATTCGTTACAAAAGCCTGCGCATTTTAATCTATCGATTAATAAGCTGCGGAGCACAGTAACTACACCAGCTGCCTTCAATCTGGTGATTAGTAGGCAGCATGATTCGCTGCAGGGTTCTGGTGGTTATAACTTTCGGTTATTAAACCACAGACCTCGCGGCATTCCTCTATCCGAGATACGCCACCTACACACGGTGACAATAAGCCATGAGCGCCGTGGTAACGCCTCATGTGGTTATCACTGCACACACCTCCACCCATCCTCTGAGCGTGTACGCGCATCATGATGAGAGGCGGAGTGAATGCAACGTGTGGAGGCCTCCTCACAGCCTTTTCGCTAGGCCCACCTTGGGTTGCCTCACGGGGCCTCCGCCCCCCCACCAGGAGAGGGGGGGTAAAAAGGGAGTGAGGTACTCCCGTTCGGCGTCTGCTCCATGAGAGCCGCCGAGGAAGCAGAGCGGCCTTGACGGTTGGGGAGGCAGTGTGAGGAAAATAAAAGAAGATTATTTCCCAACATGTTGGCTGAGTCATCAGTTTCAAATGTGTTTCACATATCCCCCACTCTGGCCGGTGAGCCAGCTGCCATGACCTATCGGTTAATAGCCAGCCGGGTTCGGTACAAAAGCCTGCGCTATTTAATCTATCGATTAATAAGCTGCGGAGCACAGTAATTACACCAGCTGCCTTCAATCTGGTGATTAGTAGGCAGCAGGGTTCGCTGCAGGGATCTGATGGTTATGACTCTTCGGTTATTAAACCACAGACCTCGCGGCATTCTTCTGTCCGAGATACGCCACCTATACACGGTCATAATAAGCCTAGGAGCGCAGTGTTAACGCCTCATGTGGATATTACTGTACACACCTCCACCCATCCTCTGAGCGTGTACACGCCTCATGATGCGAGGCGGAGTGATACGCAGCGTGTGGAGGCCTCCGCACAGCCCTTTCGCTCTAAGCCCACCTTGGGTGCCTCACGGGCAGCGGCGGCGAGGGCTCTGGCGTGGCTCGTCGTCATGACAACCACAACACATCTCGAGCATGCGCGCCCGCTGTCAGTGTTTCTCGGCGTGGCAGCGCATGTGTTTGATGGACGGATGGATGCACAGGCTGATCAGCAGAGGGTACACCCTGCAGTTCACCTCCCCCCCCACAGTTCAACGGGATACAGGTGACATGCCTAACATCCCGTGAACAGTGTCTTGCGCTCCAAGCAGAGCTACGGGAACTCCTGTTGAAAGAGGCTATTTCCAGGGTTCCCCAGGAGGAAGAAAATCAGGGGTATTACTCCCGCTATTTTCTTATCCCGAAAAAGACAGGGGGAATGAGACCCATCCTCGACCTGTCAGTTTTCAACAAGGCAATAATGAAAAGGCCTTTTCACATGCTGACGGTCAAAAAGGTGCTAGAGTGTGTTCACCAGGGAGATTGGTTCACCTCTATAGACCTAAAGGATGCATACTTCCATGTACCCATCATTCCGCAACACAGGAAATTCCTGCGGTTTTCATTCCAGGGAATAGCATACCAGTACAACCGTCTGCCGTTCGGCTATTCCCTGGCTCCCCGTACTTTTTCAAAGTGTGTAGAGACGGCGTTGCAGCCGCTACACAGAGGAGGGATGAGAGTACTATTTTTACCTGGACGACCTGCTGCTGCATGGCTCGCTCTAGGGAGGAAGCGGCTTTACAGACGGTACAACTCATATTGTATCTGTCAAAGCTGGGTTTCATGATAAATTGGGAAAAGAGCTGTCCTATTCCAGCCCAGAGTATTGTTTACCTGGGTGGAATTGAACTCAGCCCGCATGAGAGCACGACTCTCACGGCAGAGAGTGGAGTGGACACGCTGACAGCTCTCCTTCGACGTGTCACACCCCGCAGCGTGGTGACGAAAAAGCCCCCCACAGTTCAATGGGATACAGGAAACACTCCTGTCCTCCCAGAAGCTATGTCTTGCGCTCCAAATCCGAGCTGCTGGAACTCCTGTTGAAAGAGGATATTTCCAGGTTTCCTCAAAGGGAGGAAAATCAGGGGTTTTCACTCCCGTTATTTTTCTAATCCCGAAAAAGACTGGGGCAATGAGACATCCTCGATCTGTCAGTATTTCACATGCTGACAATCAAACAGGGGCTGGAATGTGTTCACCAGGACGACTGGTTCACTTCCACCTGAAGGATGCATACTTCCACGTACCCATCATCCCGAAACACAGGAAATTCCTGCGGTTTCTCATTTCAGGGAATATCAGACCAGACAATCGTCTGCCGTTTGGATATTCCCTGGCTCCTCCCATTTTTGTGTAGAGAAGGCTGGAGCCGCTACACAGAGGAGGGATGAGAGGGTGGTTTCCTTTGGACGACCTGCTAGTTGCTGGCTCGCTCCAGGGAGGAAGTCGCTTTACAGACGGTACATCTCGTATCGCATCTGTCAAAGCCTGGGTTTTATAACAAGTTGGAAGAAGAGCTGTTCCCTTCCCTCTCAGACAAACGTTATCTGGAGTGGAATTAAAAACTCAGCCAGCAGCAGAGCGCTCTCTGGCAGCGAGTGAGAAACTGACAGCTCTCCTCCGGCGTGTCACAAACCACACAGCCCTCTCCATAACGCAGCTGCTCGGCATTAGCGTCAGCTGGTCACGGGGGGGGATTCCCCTGGGTCTCCCCCACAGGGGGAGTCTCCAGAGGTGCTTCATTCACTGCAGAAGCCTGCTGTTTTAACCTATTGGTTTATAAACTGCAGAGCTCGAGGCATTCCTCTGTCCCAGATATGCCTTACACACGGTCATAATAAATCCACGAGCACTGTTATAACGCCTCGTGAGGACAGCATACACACACCTCTCATCCTCTGGGCGTGTACGCGCCTCATGATGAGAGACAGAGTGGAATGCAGCGTGTGGAAACTCCCTCGCAGATTTTTGCTTCACGGGCAGCAGCGGCGAGGGCGTGGCACGTCACCATGACGACCATTACGGCACATCACAGAGAAGCCTCTCCCCCCAGCAGTTCCATGGGATGCAAGAAACACTCCCGTTATCCCAGGAACAGTGTTATTTCCGGCGAATTTAACCGAGGGGCTCGCAGAACGCAGCAGCCGTGCTATGCGAGGAGTATGGAGACTCAGGCCGGTGTCACGCACACTGGCGCCTCAGTGGGATTTGGCTTTGGTGTTACGCGCACTAAAGAAAAACCCCATTTGAACCTGATCAGGTTGCCCTTAACTGTATTCAGCCAAAGTAGTACTGCTTTTGGCTCTATCAGAGGAAAGGGTGATCTGTCTGCTCTCCCGGTGGCTCCGTCATGTCTCCGGATCCATGGAGATGCAGTTCAGCTGTTTTACGCCCTAACCCGGCTTCATGCCTATAAGGTCATCACAACTCTTTTAGGTCAAGAGTGATCACCCTGGCTGGCTTCTTCCCCCCTCCTTACAGGTCGGAGGAAGAAGAAACATCTCATCTCCTCTGCCCGGTGCGCGCGCTGTCTGCTATGTGGCGCGCACGGCGGCATTGCGCCGTTCTCAGCGCCTGTTTGTGCACTATAGAGAGCGCTCGATCGGGCAACCTCTGTCTACACAACGGCTGTCACACTGGCTGTGTGAGGCTGTGTCACAGGCATATGTCTCCTCTGGGGTGGAGCCCCCGGAGAATATCAAAGCGCACTCAACCAGAGGAATTTCCTCCTCCTCGGTGTTGCGCGGAGGAATGTCAGTGGAAGATATTTGCACGGCTGCATCTTGGTCTTCCCCCTTTCATTTATTCAATTTTATTTGAGGGATGTCTCCCTTTCCTCTCTGACACGCCCTGTACTGGGTGTCCTGTCAGAGTGAGTGACGTCAGGGATCCAGCTGTGCGCCTCTCTCCTGCCTCGCGGCACACAGAGAGCGGCCCTTTTTCCCCTCGTAGGAGAGGGACGTTCCCCTTCCTCTGACACACTTCGTAGGGAGTGCCTGGTCAGAGTGAGTGACGTCAGGGATCCAGCTGAGAGCTCTCCTACCTGGCTGACACGGAGAGAGCGGCTGTTCCCCCTCTATGATCGCAGGACAAGGTGGGACCTTCGTCTCTACTTTCTCACAGCGGTCGGTATGTATTGTTCCCAGCCTTCACCCCGTCAGGGAAACAGGTATGTTGGCTCCAGGGACGGGGATGTGCCATTACGCATGGCACAACAGGCAGGGGGGTGTTATTAAGCAGGTATGTCTGTGCTTCTAGTGCTGGACGGACCCAGTGGGGCGCAGACTACATCATGCTTCGCCCTTAACCCAATAGCGATAGCCTTAGAGGGCGAAGCCATATACGAAATAGAACTGAGGTTACCTACTGTAACCCAGCTTCTATGAGTATTGGCGCAGCCCTCTAAGCGCTGGGCCCCACTGGCTCTACGAATAGCTGAAGAAAAGTTATATTGTATGGGAGCAGATCGCCGGGCAACCTCCCTATTTATACCGGAAGGAGGCCCGAGGGTGGGGCCCACCTAGCGGGTGGGCGTGGACTACAAGTGTTTTCAGTACTGCGCGGGGGCGCAGAAGGGTAAACCCAATAGCGATAGCCTTAGAGGGCTGCGCCAATACTCATAGAAGCTGGGTTACAGTAGGTAACCTCAGTTATGGGTGTTTTCCTCCTTGTATATTGTTTGGTCCTTCTTCCTGTGTTTTTCCCCTGTCGTTAGTTTCCCTGGTGTGTCTGATTGTGTTCACCTGTACCCCTTGTGTGTCTCCTGTGCTCATCATCACCAGCCCCACCCCTGATTGGTTTCACCTGTGTCTTGTTGTCATGTGTTTAAATTCCCCTGTCTCCCAGTGTTCAGTGTGAGTTCGTATTGTCTCTTGCAATGGTCAGGTCTATGCTCTTTTGTGCTCAAGAAAAGTGTTGTTCCTCACTACGTGAGTGATTTTCCTTTTGGTCTCATTTTTTGTCATCTCATCCTGAGATTAGTTAGTGACCATTTTTTGTTCATCGTGTTTTTTGGAAAAATAAAGTATCTTACCAATACTTTACCTCTGTCTCCCGGGTCGTGCAATTGGGTCCTACCTACTGAGTGCCTGAGTTCCTGACACTCAGTGGGTCTCAAACGTTTTGATCACAATTTATGTAAACAAGGCACTCCTTTATAATTATTGGGATAAACAGGTTTGAAATCATTTCAATGTATAGGCCTACTATAGGACAGTAAACCAAAAATATCGTTTAAAACTGGAGAAATAAAAAAAAAATGCATAAATAAATGTTAACTAGGTAAAATAAGATATGAATGAACCGGCCCTGAGACAGAGGCCCAATCCCAAACGGCCCCCTACACCCTACCCCTACACACTACCCCTCCGTTCGCGCGGAGGGTCCGCCACATTAAGTGCTGTTCCAAACCAAGGAGTGTGGAGCGGTGTGGAGTGGGAGTGGGCTATCAAGCCCTCAAACAGCGAGTCTGCATCGGTGCTGACTTGAGACCGGTCTCTACGTTGTGTGTGTCCGTCAGGAAATCTGACAGGAGGGAGCCTCATGTGTCACTCCGTCACGGAGGGGGAGTGTGTAAGTGTAGGGCGTAGGGCGTGGTTTGGGATTGGGCCAGAGAATCAGCACTTTTGAAACAGGGCTGAAACAGAGGGGTTTATGGGATGCTGCAATGCTTAATCTGTTTGGTATTCCGAGCCAAACACTTCAGAGACATGTTTTGTATATATCTGAGACCTATAATATATTGATGAAAAACAGTATAATAAGGGAACTTTAATGCTGACTTTAAAGAATGTATGTATTCCACTAAAACAAGCAGAACATGAAGATATCAGCTGTCATTCTACAAAGACAAATCGTGCTTCTGATATAACTGAACATGTCCTCAGTCTACTGTTATCAAAGTGTGTTCAGAGTTGACCTGTCTCTTCTTCAACAGCTAACTCCTACACGGAGGCGTGCACGCCGTCATGGCAGTCTGCTTCCATCGGCACAGAGAAGACCTCGTCCAAGTTCAAACCTAGTAGTTCAAAGGTCAGTTTACGTGTCTCCGTCTGTCTCAGAAAAAAATTGTCATTGGGAAAACAAATGCTCAGATAATGACATGTGCTAAATTGTAACCCTTTGTCGTTTTCCCTGTAGAATTTGACACAAAGACAAAACTCATTCGACATCGCTCCCCAAATGAATCTCCCCCTTTCCCCTACCCGCAGCAAGCACTCCACCCTGGTTAGTGTTTAGACTAATTCCCCTGCTCTGTTTGTTCACAATATCTTATTGTTATGACTGCTGCTCCTGATAGTTTCACCCATTGCTTGTGCCTCCAGGCCCTATATACTTGGGGTTATATTGTGTTATTAAACCAAGTTGGAGAGAGTTTACGAAAACAGAACAAATTACAATAATTTTTTACTGGAAAGTGTTTTTTGCTTTTCCACATGTTGCGCACCTATGGCATTTTTTATTTATAAAACCAATTTCAGGGAATATATACGAAGAATACCAAGAGCTAGCCCTTATATGACTCATACTAAATGATTATCTCCGCATTTGCTACATTTAATGGGAAAAGAGGATCACAGATCAAGTTTAAGAGGAAAAGGCCAGGCTTTTCTCATTACTGTTCCAATTTCCTTTTGTGATCATTTCTTTGCAACCGCAACAGCAAACGCAGCCACAGCAAACGCAGCCACAGCAGCAGCAGCAGCAGCAGCAGCCGCCGTCGCCCATGTACCCGCCACCGCCACAGCCTCAGGTCTGTGTGATGAACCAGCTGAAGGAGCAGCTGGAGGAAAGGACGCGCATTCTGCAAGCCGACATTCAGACGCAGCAGCAGGAGCTGCATGACATTAAAGAGAAGCTTCACCTCGCTAATATCCAGGTAACACTCCCACAAAGATTACAACACCTTATTGTAAGCTAACCACTGAATAGTCAGGCCAAGAAGCAATCACATACCAATTCAGCTACATGTAATCATTACACATCCTCAATGACCTGCCCAGAGGGCACAATCTGGGAATGTTGTAGTGTTTCTCCTATCATTAAGACACAATGTCAAATCTCGTTGCCTGCGACATCAGATTTGAAAGAATAAATAAGAAGTAACTTCCGATCCAACTTCAAACTAAAAACATAAGTAAATGAAGGGTAGATTAATATGTTTTGTTTGTGTGTAAGGTGTTGTTACAGCAGCCTTCCCACAATGACTTTGGCCAGGCCCAGCAGCAGCAGCAGCAGCAGCAGCAGCAGAACCAGAACCAGAACCAGTCAGGTGTGATCAGGCAGCGCTCAGGCCACTCAAAACCATCGTCCAGCAGGACCCACAGGTCATCCCCTCACTCACTCCAGAGAGAGAACAGCTCACCGTCAATACAGGTACAGAGCTACACGAGGGAAACAAGTCCAAACACAGCTGTCTGAAAATGTATTCTCTCATGTTAAGAGGATAATATTGATTCACCAATGTACCTTCAGTCATTAGCAGCTAACGACTCATGGCCTACTTCAGTGCTCACAACACAGCAGAAGGCAGTTTATGGATTCAGCTGCTAATATCAATCAATTATTAAAAGATATACGCATCACAACAGGTGGTAATGTCATTGTTTTCTGAATGCTGAGCTTCCTGTGTTTACTCGTAGGTGCAGCAGAGGATTGCGTGCAGCGGGCAGACCCAGCTGGTGAGCATGCCTGTGCAGACCAACCCCAGTGTGACCATGCCCTTCTACAGCAACCCCATGATGTTCTCTCAGACCAACACGCGCTCTCTGCAGGATGCCAACCAAAGACAAACAGACGGCGAGTTCAACCAAGAAGGACAACTTCGGTAAGAGAAATGTGAAATTCAGCCCACTCAAAACCACAGTATGACAGACAGAAGGGACATTACTAATATGAAGTCAGTTTTATCAATAGTGGCCTTCAACTGTTAAACTCCGTATTGTATGTGTTGTGATTCCCTGCCCTGAGAGGCAAGTGAGCTATTGTAGTGATCCATTATTTTCTTTTATTATTTTTTTTCATTGTCAAAATGTCACAAAATGTTTTTGGAAGGATAACTTTTTTCCATTTTGTGTTTGTTGTTGTAATACTCCTGCCGGCCACAAGAGGCAGTAGTGCACAATTACCCCATGTTCTAAACAAGACTGAACACAGAAGATCAGGAAGAATAAAAACACATTTCAGCCAAAATAAAGACATGAGAGTAATGTCACATTACTTGCTAACACACTATTAATGTACTGTGCGTTTAAACCTCTGGATATGTGGTTTAAACACATCTGGAAAAAAACAGGAATGTTTTGAATCCTATTTAGAACATGGGGTAGTGGTGCCTCTAGTGGCCAACATAGATTTAAACTTAGAGAACTTATCCTGACAAAAAGAAAAGAAACACCTACAGTCTTTCATAGATGACATTGTGTTAAACTTCTATACAGGAAAGAACTCTGTTTAAGATTTTCTCTCACTTGCTTTTTTTTTCTCACAGAACAGATTTAGTTTTTCCAGTAACACATTTTATTTCCCTGCAGCATGCTACTCAACCAGCCAATGCAGACGCTGGTTCCCACGAGCAGTGTTACCACGCAGCCTTCCCAGTGCAACATGGGCATCTCCCAAACCATGTGAGAAATGTTTCATTACCCTGCTCTCTCTCACACGCACACACACACACACACACACACACACACACACACACACACACACACACACACACACACACACACACACACACACACACACACACACACACACACACACACACACACACACACACACACACACACACACACACACACACACACACACACACACACACACACACACACACACACACACACACACACACACACACACGTTCACCTGTTTGTCTCTGTGGTGTCATTTCGTATTGTGCCTAATTTTTTCTTTCTGCCCTCTGCACAGATACACCTTGGAGCAGCAGATCATCGCCCCTTCGTTCTCCATGCAACAGGTCAACTGCAACGCCGTCCTCGTGCCCTCCCCCTGCTTCACATCCCCCATAATGATCCCACCCAACGGTTTCATCACAAACCAGTCCCAGTCGGGTTATCAGACGCAGCCTCAGGCGTCTCAGCACTCCCTGCAGCTTCAGCAGCCCCAGCAGTTCTTTCAGGTACAAAATCATCTGCTGTTTGCTAATTGCTAATCTGAGGTTTTCTAGACTTTAACTCTGAGTCATTATGTGATGGATTGTAGCATTACGTTACACAGCTTGATTAACCACATCTTTATATTTACTGATTTAGGATCATTTCAGGCATTACACTGCATCTGAATCCCTAGTTACCATAGCAACAAGCTACTGTGTAAATCCCACAGGCTGTTAGGCCAGAGATCTGTGTTATTTTCAATCGTACTTAACCTCGGCTTTGAATCAAAGTTGTGATGTTTTCTAAAATTCATCAGGGTTAATTAAAACATTTCTAAAGACTTATTTATCGTCTTTGTCCAAAAGGAACAAAACAGGTCACCAGCCTTGAAAAAAAAACCTGAATAGTCTTTTATTCAAATGTCAATCATATATTTGGAGTGTATGTGTGTAATGTAGGCCTATTTGTTCTTCTTGCTGAGAGGAGTGTGTCCTTCATTTTTTATGGGAGCAATGAAGGGTCTTTTGTGTCTAAACTTTTCATAACCCAGAACTAGTGTCATCATTTCTTAAGATTTACTGTCTGAGTGGTTACATAAAAGTTAGGGCTGTACCAAATGTAACTTCTTCTCAATATGAACCTTCTATTGAGGTTTTCAAAAAGAGATATGATTGTTTTTCACTGTAATTTATGACCTCATTGCCCACAAAATAATGGATATAATATATGATGATTGTTGACCTGGCTGTATATACAGCCTGTAATATATGGTTTACTTTGGGACACTCTGCTCACCTAGGGCTATTCTACTAATGGGTGAAGGGGAGTTAGTGACAGAGGTAATAACATTTAATTCAGTAGTTCTTCCTGGACGCAGTGTTTATGTGTTTATTTCTTTAGAAGTCACTAATTCCTCCCAAAAAGTGTACACTATAAAAACCTATTATGCACGTTGGGTAAGGATAAGATTGCCAACACTTCAACAAAGACTCCTATTCTCTTGTGTGTCCGCAGATGGCTCAAGGTCTGGTTCACGGCGGATCAACTCCAGCGTTCTTACACACCACTAATGTCCCACAGCAAAGCACTGTGGGATACATCCAGCAGCATCAAACTCAGCAGCTCCCGCAGGCACAACAGCAACAGGTGCAACAGATGCAATATCAACACTCCCAGAACCAGACTAGCAGTGTGTCAGACTTCAGAAATATGCTGACTCGGTAACGCAGTGCACCGCGTTCAGAGCGCTGAGATCTCAACTCTGGGTTGCCGCAGTGCGGGCAGCAGAACGTCGTGGCATTAGAAGTCGAGTTCTGTGGAAAGAAACGCCTGAAAGTGGAACGTTTTGCTCCTTACTGTTGGTGTTCAGTGGAGGTCGGTCAGTGGAAGCCAGAGGCAGAGGAGCACTGACCCGACGTTACCTGCGGGCTCTGAGGAGAGGCTGAGGGTCTGGACCTTCATCTGTGGCCTGGAGTCAGTCAAAAGTGGAACTATTGAATCAAGCGGACTATCAAAGCTCTCAAGAAGACGTCACTGTCACATGTTTCAATGTAAAAGAGAGTTCTAAATGTCTCTTTGCATTGTGGTACTGTCCTCCTTCCTAAAGGTAGAATATTTATTTTTGCCCATGAATTAATATTCTTTTTTCCTCACTAATAATGGCTCGACGCCCCTCCCAAGACGTACAATCTTATAGTGTCATCATTTAGTTGGCAGATAACAGAAGTTTCTCCCATTCTGTCCACAAAACAACGATTTACTGTTCATGTCACGCAAATGCAGCAGTGAGGAATATTCTTTGATCATTTCGAAAGATCTAGATTTTTGAACCCTCAATCTGGTACTGAAAGCGGGATCGTAAAACTGTCCCGCCCCTTATCTTCGTAGAAGAATAACAGTCCTATACCAGAGGGGAAATATTTGTGCCTTTACCCATGGTCCGCCCATACTGCGGTTTGATGGTTGTGTCATTTGGAATACAAAGTTATATTTTCGTAGATCAAAGTTTATTATTTTCTGCATCAGATAAAACAAAAGACATCTAGATTTTTAACATATATAACAAATATATATATATATATATTGGATGCTTTTTGCAACCTTTAAATCTAAACACTTATAGTAACACATAAGATTCATTTAACTATTTACTGAAACCCTTAAATCACTTTTATTTATTTAATATATTTTTGAAAAATATATATTAAGAAACTAGTTTTATACAAAAAGGTTTAAGATGATTTTATGTGTTTATTTGGGTATTGAAGGGTCAACGCTGGTCCTAATGTCTCGCACCATCTGGGTTCATGTCAGAACAGTCCACTGACCTGTGTGGCTTTACAACAAAGTGAAAGCCTGGTGATTTAAATATATTGGAAATAGTGAGAAACTTTGGTAGCCATCTTGCCTGCTATGTTGATAATTGTGAACACTATATCACCTTGTTTCTTCGGCATTCCTGTTGTTTTCTGTTCATTTTGTCTGATTTAAATGGCCATCTGAGAAGTCACTAAATGTAAACTGTGATCATGACCAAATTACCTTTTTAAATCGCATCCTACTCTGAAAGTGATCTCATCAAAAACTGAAAATAGTGCGAACAAATTATTACAGAAACCTCCAATGCATTATTGTATCATACAGAGGCAGCATTAACAAACAACACATACATTTGACATTATTTTACCATTGTTTATTCAACTGTAAATGTAAGTTATTTGTCAGTATTTTAAGATACCAGCTACTTGTTCTTTACATACTGTGCTTTTTGTATGGCTATCTTTCTGTCATATTCTGAAAGATTTGTTGGTAAAACTACTAATCAGCTCTTGAAACTGCTCATTGGTATCAATCATCATTTTAAATATAAATGTGAGAGAAAGATAACAGTCATCTCAAAGCGCTGCCTGCAGTAATGGCGAGATGACAGTTGTACAAATAGAGGTGTACTGTCGAAGCCTGATACGCAGACGTAAAGGAAGAAGACGCACTAAAGAACCTGGTTCATCTTTCTGTTAATGACAATCAGAGAATTTGTAACAACATATACAAACTGCCAGAGTCTGATTTCATGGTTTACATTTAAAAATATTTCTTTAAATCAGGAAAAACTGTTTATAATGACTCAGTGTTTCCTGTGGAACTTGTGCTACACTTTATAAAAGCAGCCCTTCATGCTCAAAACAGCAGTTTGCTCTCAGCTGTACACATTTAAGCTGCGTCATCAGATCCCTTCAGGACTGGTGCTGCAGAACTCCTGTGCCCACTTACACTTTCCTATGTGCAATGTCAATTTGAAGAAGAATGTTAATTTATACAGGATTGTGTGTGTATATATATAAGGTGTTGGAGGTGTTTAATAAGCAATTGTACTATGATAATTATATGGAAGTATTTTTTTTAATGAAAATGTCCTAACATTCCGTTTATCAGCTCTTGAAGGTATCAGATATGTTTAGTGGGAATTTGGTGAAGAGTGGTATTTTTTCCCAAACAAAAGGCAGTAACTCACATGTTCACCCTGAGAAAATATTAAATGAAGGATCTTTGTGTCCCCGGCAAACAGAATGTCAGACACTATGGGAGTCAGGCTGCAGCCGTGTGGTCTGGTAGCTCAGCCAAAAACAAGAAAATGTAAACCTGCACATTTATTTAGCTTTTTTTCAGTTTCAATGACAGATTTCTACCATTTCTGTCGAATGGTTTTTAAGAAAAAGTGCAATTGTACATCAGTCTCACTCTATGTATTCAGTCACACCCACATTTGGTATGGAAAAAGTTGAGTGAGTGACCATTTGATTTAAACTCAACCAGCAACACAGAGGTGCTATAGATGACTAATGTGTTTTTCATTCACTGGAAGAAGACACTCCTTTTCCTTTTATCAGTAACCTTTAACCTTTCAGAGAAATGCAGTAACATTTCCTCTTGAGGTTGTTTACCATCCGCATTCAGAGAAGATCTCAAAATCATCATACTGCTTCGAGGTGGTTGATGGAAGCGCCGCCCAGTAAAAAAAAGTGTATTGCTTCACAGGTGTGATTGTAAATAATGCATCTGCTCTGACGGTACTGTTTTCTCCCTAGTCTCCCTGACAGCACCTTTTCTTCTGTTCTTCAACTCGAGTGCTTTCTTTTTTCATGTTGTTTTTCATTGAGTGTCATTGTTTTTGAAGGCATGTGATTTGAATCACATATACTTGTACTTTCTAATAGTGACTGACACTTATGAGCGTGGGCAGTGAGATTATTGCATTCTGTGTAAGATTTGCCTGAACATGAACAAAACAGAAACGGTGCACAGCCATTTCTTCAGTCTGAATGCAGAAACAAACATTTAATGTTGTATAATAGAATGTAAAAGTTAAAAAAATATATATATAATTGTTTATTTTATATGTCTCAGATTATATACGTAAATTCAATGATTTAAAATTAAAGTAATTTTGTAACAGATAATGAAGTGTCTTATTAGAGAAGGTGAGGTTCTTCTTTGTGTTGCAGTTGTATGGCTTGTTTTCTTTCTGTATTTACCATCAAAATAAGCTTTACAAATATCTTAAACATTGTTTAAAAAGAAATTAACAAATTAAGTTTACATTCTAAAATATCTTGATATGAATGATGTTATATTGAATTATTTATAAATCAACCTGGATATTGTGAAATATTTGAAAATAAATATTTTTAAACATGTTTTTGCAAAAAGGCATATTTTTACATCAGTACAGCATGCTTGTATTAACCGGTATTAACCTATGCAAAGTACTTACTCGGATCAAATATTGTGCAACACGTTTTTAAACACTTCTCACGCAGCAGAGGGCAGTCCATATGAGCCACTGTCACACCTCCCTGAGATTTTCACAGTGATTCATTTGATGTCAGCCATCCCACTCGCTTCTCAAAATCTCTACAGTGACGATGTGCTAGTGTTAAAACTTGCAGTATGTCGTAAGCTGACACCTTATTATCGCCTGAGCAATCTGTCAAATACACAGCTGAATGTTGATGGTAGGAAAAATGCGACTTTTTAATTGATTGCATTAACATGTTTATCTTTTACAAAAGTATTATTGGAAGAATATGTGACATTAACTGTACACGTGTAACAGAATTTACAGTATCAAATGAAGGTTTGGTATAAAACATTTAATCTTTCTATCAAAAATTACTTTCTAATGACATGATTTCTGATGAACATAATTACAAGATAGTCTCACAGAGCTGTACACTTTGAAACCTCGGTCACTCTGTACACCTTGCTGATCAGGACCTCCACTCTGTCTCCACCCAGATGGCAGAGGTCCAGGATGCAGACGAGGTGCATGTCCTCCAGCTCCCCAGCAGACCCCAACACCTCCTCTGCAAGACAAACACTGATTATAAATGTAATGCTGTGTATCGGTGATAAGAGTCTTCCCACGAACTGTTTGGATCCTCCACCCTTTTGTAGGTCCGGTGAATACCTGGCTGGGGAAGTGTTGATTGGCTGTGGCTGAGCGGACAGAGGAAGCCTGACGAGAGGCAGGACAGCATCGTGTTGCCATGGGGATCCTGAGGGAGAGCGACAGCCCTGGGATCATCTGAGCTCACAACGGGCAAAAATGCAGCATCGATGGCCATCTGTTTGTTTATGCCTGTCAGAATGATAACACAGAAGAAGAGTGGCAAACTGAGCACAAGAACAATTTCACACATTTCATTTTCAAGACTTTTCTTCTTTTTTCATCTTTTAAAAAGGAAAACTAGTCCAATTTATTCTTGGCCCACTTCAGTTCAATAAGAATTTTATACATCTATGGATCCGTTTTTTTATTAATATGGAAGGGGAATTCCATTTAAACGGGATGAGTAATTAAAATGATCATTCTTAGGGTGAAGTACGCATTTAAAAATACTAATGATAGTTGTATTAATTTGTGTTTTCTTAATGTGACTAGCCCGTCCACATGGCAGCGTGCAAAGATGGGGACTCGAGTCTGTGACTCGGACTCGAGTCGCACTTAAGTCGCACACACAGAGACTTCAGACTTGACTTGGACTCCTGCTCAAAAGACTTCAGACTCGACTTGGACTCGTGTTTTGGGACTCGTGAACAATCATTGTGTTTTCTATTTTTGGCGTATTAAAGGTGGGGTAGGTAAGTGTGAGAAACCAGCTCGAGATCGCTAGAATTTGAAAATACACAACCGGAGAAAATCTGCCACTTCCTCACAGAGCCCCTCCTCCAACACACACGAACGCGCACATGACCAATGAGGGCACGAGATAAGTTTGTGCCCCGATGGAAGGCTGACAGGCAGGTAGGCCATCCAGTTATTTTAGCCGGGCCGGCTATCGGGATGTTAAGAGTATTCCATGGAATATAACAACAAGTGTATCTCGAGCCGGTTTCTCAAACTTACCTACCCCACCTTTAACATTAACATCATGGTAACACCATGGCGACCGGCGGCACACCTGCAGCTGTACCGCTTGCAGGTTCAACTATAAAAACTTCGAACAAAAACGCCGGCGGCACCAACAAAAGGAGCGCACACTGCAAAGTCTGCAATATTAAAATCAAGGATGCTGGTGTAACAACGTCAAATTTCATCAGGCACTTGAAAACTCACCCGGAGAGGTCAGTCACATTAACGCATATGGACGGTTAGCAAACATGTTTAGCTCAGCATCAGCTATGTAATGTTAACTTAGCTTGCTACTAGCTTTGTAACTGAATATTTGAAAAGATGAGTGAATGTTTGCTTGTCACACTTGTTTGCGTTGAGTGGCGTTGACATCCAACTCTTGACATGACATAAAAAAGGTCGGTAACGTTAATCATTACGTTCCGCTGCCACCGCTTCCACTGGCTAACGTTAAACGTAGAAAAATACATAGTTACATACATAAATACATCTGTCGGTTTATAGGCAGGTTACAGGTTTATTGTTGACCACGTAACGTTAATGTTACAGGTTTATCAGGTTACCATTACACTGGGTTTGATTGAGAGGATAGAGGAATATGTTTATTTATAGTAGACTTAAAAGATGTCATTAGAGACCCAGTGTAATTAAACAATACGGTTGCAGAGGTCAAATTTTAACATTTTTGTCCACTGGCCAAATGGCTAGCCTAGTGAATGTTGAAATGTTACCAGCCACTCAATAGATTGCCATTGTTATTTTTGGCTGGTGCGTGCAACATACAGTACAGTACCAGCCACTTGCATGATTTACCAGCATTTGGCTGGTAAATGGTGTTAATGGTAGATATCTCTTTTGGAACAGGTCATGTTTTAATATCACCAGTTCAGTATATTTCAGATAATATTGCAGCAATAGTTTTTTAGTTGCAAATGGCACAGAACAAATGTTTACTTTTAAGTACTTTTAAGTACTTTTAACACAGTTTCCCTGCGGGGGATTAATAAAGTATTTGTGATTCTGATTCTGAAGTGTTTTGCTTATAAGTTGTTTGCATTTAGCTAAAGTGTGATGTTGTTCCTCATATTGCATTGCAATAGCCTGTTTAAAGTGATCATATAACAAACAACTAATCAGTACTGATACTGTATGCTAATAGATATAGGAGTGATAATAATACAGTAAATGCTTTGAATGTCTTAGATATAGCTGTGCAGTATTCTTAACAGACTGGATAGCAGCAGACAATAGAAGGCTTATTACAACCAGAAGAGACATGAGACTTTTATTTTGTAGAGACTTGAGACTTGACTTGGACTCGTGACCAAAGACTTGAGATTTGATCAAGTCTCACCCCACAAAGACTTGAGACTTGACTTGGACTCGTGACCAAAGACTTGAGACTTGACTTGGACTTGCAAAAAAAGACTTGTGAACATCTCTGGCAGCGTGCGTTGCTTCAACGGAGACGCTTCCCATTCACTTTGAATGGGGTGACGTCACGCTTTGCCGAGCTGCATTGTGGTTCCGTCGCATCGCTTTGCCTCCGTTGCTCGCTTCGAAAGTTGAGAAAAGTTCAAGCCTCGACGGAAGCGTCAGCCAATCAAATCATATGCCAGTACAAGCTCTAGCCAATCAAACCGCGTGCTTCTGTGTCCAGGGCGGGAGATTAATGTGATTGGTTGTTGGTCGCACGCTAGACACGCCCACCGGCAAGCTTCAACGCACGCTGCACTGCTGCACATGTGGACGTACCGTTAGACCTCTGGCTTGTTTCCTCTGAAAGCAGGTCTAGCGACTCACTGACAATGTAAATAAATGCAACAAAAAAAATTCAGGCCAGTTTTGAAACTCTGCATGGATTAAGTACTAACCATTTTTGCCTCCTTAAAACAGCTATTCAGTGTCTGAATAATTCAGACAGAATATAATGTCGGGTGCAAAAGGATGTCCAGGTTCTAGGGGTGTAACGGTACACGTACCCGTACCGAAATTATTCGGTACGGGCCCTTCGGTTCGGTACAGGTGTGTACCGAAGTGTACCGAACGAATATAACGTTAAACGTAAAAAATTGAGAACGTGAACAACTTTTTGGAAGTAATCTCAGGTGCTGCGTCGCAGCATTCAGAGTAATTTGCTCACATTGGGTTCAACGCGTCATAGAGCGAGCAAGTCATTTCATTGGATGAGAGGCATACTATGAGAGCTGGACAGAGGGATGCGTTCAAATGTAGTCAGTAATTTGAGGAACTGTCGAAAATTAATGGCGAACGCAGATAAAGTTGAGCTCGAAAATCCTCCAGCATCATTGAAGTCTCCGGTTTGGGAACATTTTGGTTTCGCAGTTACGTACAAGGATGAAGGACAAAGACAGGTGGACCGAACCAAAGCTGTTTGTCGGCATTGTTCAACTAACATTGGTTGCGCGGCTGGCAATACATCAAACTTGCACACTCTTGAAAAGGCATCACCCGAACGTGAATATCACCGGTACCAAAAGAAAAAAGACTGAAGTGCAAACCCAACTCCCACTAGCATTTAAGCCTCCACCACTCGCAGAGAGTTCAGACCGAGCCAAAGCTATTACAAACACTAAATATCCTTATGTTGCCATGTTAGCAAAGCGCTACCTGGCTGTATCTGCTACCTCTGTCCCTAGAGACAGGCCCGGACTGGCCATCGGGAGGACCGGGAGGTTTCCCGATGGCCTGGCCTGTTAAGTGGCCTGCTGGCCTGAGGATTTTTTTTATTTTATGTATGTATTGTGAACGCAACGCTGCGCAAATGTGGGTCAGACTCTGCCTCACAGAGGGTGACTGGCTGTCTACATGATGTGGCCTGCCGACATGGCCACTTTCATACAGATCATACACTAAAGCCCTCGATTGGTCTCTCATTCAAGCTCGGGAGGGTGTGTATGTGTGGCGGGCCTGAGCGTGCGAGAGAGAAAGCGCGCGCACCGATTACGTGTTTTGTTGTTGTTAGCATCTGGTGCTAGCTAGCGGCGCTAATGGATGAGCTGACTGTCAACAAGGTGGAGGAGAGTCCTCTCCTGTCAGACTGAGAGACTGATAACTACAGCTCAGGTGAGGTAAAGGACTCTTGAGTGTTTAGATAGTTAACTTAGTCTGAGTTATCTCTGTGGGTCTCAAACGGTTTGGTCACCATTTATGTAAACACATATTTCCATTTGAAGGGGGAGTAATTAGTAAAATATGCATGAATAATAATTTTTTTTAAATAACTAGGTGACTGGCTGTCTACATGATGTGGCCTGCCGACATGGCCACTTTCATACAGATCATACACTAAAGCCCTCATTCAAGCTCGGGAGGGTGTGTATGTGTGGCGGGCGCGAGCGTGCGAGAGAGAAAGCGCGCGCACCGGTTACGTGTATTGTTGTTGTTAGCATCTGGTGCTAGCTAGCGGCGCTAATGGATATAATGAGCTGACTGTCAACAAGGTGGAGGAGAGTCCTCTCCTGTCAGACTGAGAAACTGATAACTACAGCTCAGGTGAGGTAAAGGACTCTTGAGTGTTTAGATAGTTAACTTAGTCTGAGTTATCTCAGTGGGTCTCAAACGGTTTGGTCACCATTTATATAAACACATATTTCCATTTGAAGGGGGAGTGATTAGTAAAATATGCATGAATAATAATTAAAAAAAATTAACTAGGTGAAAAAAGGTAAGATAAACTTAAAAAACTTGTTGAGAGCTAAAACTAGTCTTTGCTGCTGCCTCAAAGAGGAGCAGGGGGAGAGGGGGGAGATGAGTGAGGCTGGTTCAGGAGCACAGACACACTCACAACTATAAATGAATGCCCCCGGACCCCCCTAGAGGAATTGAGGTCCATCTCCACTTAAAATATGTTCACATGGATAGGTTCCTAAATAGATTTGCAAAAAAAATTGAAATAGTAACCCATGTCCATATGTTTATTCTGGGGTAGTAGATTTAAAGTTTAGGGCTATCACTATGGGCAGCAACGCTGTAAATATTGACAAATAAATCCAGGAAAATGGCACAAAAGAAAACTGGTAGTGGCCTGGCTGGGTGTATAATTCCCGGCCTGACTTATTGTCCCAGTCCGGCCCTGCCTAGAGAGAGGGTGTTCTCCACATCAGGAGACATTGTTAGTGCCAGCAGATCTGCCCTTTCGGCAAGCAATGTGGACAAGTTCATTTTTCTTTAAAAAAACATGAAAATACAATGACAAGCAAGTCCTAATGTCAAGCTGGCTGCTTAGGAACTAGTACAGTACAGTTCAAATACAGATTATTTCAGTTCATCGAAAAGCTGCACCTTAATGTTTATTTTATTATATTTTGTATTTATTTGAGTGAATATTCACAGTTTAATAATAATTAAAAACCCAAAACTAATAGTTTATGTTTTGTGAGTACTAGTAGCCTACAGTAAAGTTCAAATACAGATTATTTCAGTTCATCGAAATGCTGCACCTTAATGTTTATTTTATTATATTTTGTATTTATTTGAGTGAATACATTATTCACAGTTTAATAATAATAAAAAAAATATATATATATATGTTTTGTTTTGTGAAAAAAAATTCTGCTGTACCGAAAACGTACCGAACCGAACCGTGACCAAAAAACCGAGGTACGTACCGAACCGAAATGTTTGTGAACCGTTACACCCCTACCAGGTTCAGAGACGGAAATGCTCAAATTAACTTCCTGTGGGTCACAGATCAGAGTAATTCTTACGCTAAGACTTTACCTAGTATTGTAACTTGGTAGAACCCGGGACAGACCACAGGAGGGGGGGTGTCCGCACTCTGCTCTGGGGTCCAGTGCGTCGGCTGAAGGTTACTCCGCTGCAGGAGGACGTCCTTTTCGTCAATCGTGAACCTCTGAGACACGCTGTCCTGGTGCAGCCCGCCTTCACACAGATATTCAGACACTTCCTGTTTCTGCTTCGGCCAACTGCTGCTTTCCCAAGATATGACATCAGAGTCTGTTGAAAACACAAACATGTCAGTATCAGAGTATCAGAATGCAAAATGTACATCGCGGTCAAACTGCAGCTCCAATGACACACCTTGATTTTGCTGGCTGTCTGCGACATTCGGAGTGTCTTCAGATCCAGAGTCGCTCTCTTTCTCTTCCTCAATCTCTGAGCTCCTTCTGTTTCTGCGCCAACAGAAGACTTTCAGAGTGATTGAACTTGATAACTAATGAATACTACCAGCTGGATCATTATTACCTTTTTGCTGCCATGCTACGAAGATTCAAGGAGAACTGCTTGACTTTTCTGGAAAACATGTATGTATTCACATTTTATATCAAATCAAAACATGTGCTCCTAGCAGCCACTAAAGATAAATGATAGATTCGCTATTAAGCTTACAAATATTTGAGTCAGGAGTGGTATGTTACCTTGTTTGAATTCTTCTTTTTATTCCTCTTACTGAGATTTCCTCAGCAGTTGAAATGGGAGCCGTGGTCTGCTCAGCTGTGGAGGGATGGTCCTGTGTGTTTGGCTCACACACATCAGGAGCAACATCTGGCACCTGCTGAAATCAGTTGACTTATTTAACAATGTGGTAATGGTCGCTACTCTTGGAAAGGTGATTTAAAAATAATGTTCTTTACTTCTCTCTCCTCTGTTCCTCTAGACTCTGTTGATTTGGGGTGTTTCGTGTATCGCACTGCCGCGATCTGTCCTTGAATTGCAACTTTTTTATGCTCCCTATATTGGAGGGTCTCCATCTCCTTCTTCAAGTCGGCCGCAGCAACCAGAGGAACTTGAGCTGAAGAAGGAGCAAAAATAAATACATTTGAAAAAGTCTGTAGGAATCAGGATTCATGTGCTTGGTGTATTCTACACTTTACAGATCAAACAGATGATTGTAAATTGTCTTTTTAAGGGGAACTTGGAAGAAAAGCTTTTGAAAATCCCCTCTATCTTTTGGCAAAACTGGAGGAAAATGCTAACATAATAATAATAATGCATTACATTTTTAATTAGAGCGCTTTTACAGGTGCTCAAAGTGCTTTACAATTACACATTACACATATTAGACATGTAAGAGTCATTACTGTGGACATTACCCACAGGAGCAGATGCGGGTAAAGTGTCTTGCCCAAGGACATAACGGCCTGACGCAGTGGCAGGTTTCGAACTGGAGCTCACCAACGCCCCTTGATCTGATGATCAACGCTCTAACCACTGCGCCAACCGTCCCGTACATATATTCTTTCCGATTCCTGCCGCCCACAAGATAACTGAGTATTTCTTATTTTGGTTCAGTACTGAAGAGAAGTTCATCATTTCAAGCTCTGTTCTAAAATTATTCATATTAAAGCTGGACTTATGTTCTGAAGCTTATCGGTGCATAATTAGATAAAACTATAGTTCACTGAGAGGCCAAACAAAATAGTGCATGAAATGTTAACTTTTCTTCAATAATAACGTTCTTCCTGACCTGAGGCATCTGCCATGGACTGGGTAAATGTCTGCGGGGGACGAGGGTAGCAGTAATGTCCGCCAACAGAAGTCTTCTGAAGGACAACGTTGTCCTTCAGAGTTTTGGTCCACTGGATGAAAGTCTTCACTCTGGGGTCACTCACATATGGCTGACCTTTGTGGTAGCCTGCAGTGGAGTCAGAAAATACAGTGAGCATTACCGTCTGATAAAACATGAACATTATCACTTCCACTTTGTTAGAGCTGTGCTTACCTGTGATGAACGTCTCTGTCTCACAGCTGCTGGTGAGGTAGGGCAACGAGCCTTCCACTCTGCAAACTCTCATCTGAGTGCACACCAGGTAGGTCACTGAGGAAGAGATGATGATGATGATGGACAGATGAAGTGAAAATGCTAACAAGTTAGAGCTGTCAGATAGAAGCCATTTGACTTACTTGGACAAATACGACTGAAGACTTCCGGTTGGGAAGAGGAAAAAACCTCCAGGATAAAAGGACGGTCGGATGATCCGTCCACCGCATGGATCCAGCGATATGTCCAGAACTTTTCTGGACCTATAGGTAAAAAAAATTGTTTTCTTCCAATGATTAACTTTGGTTAAAAGTAAATGAATTCCAGTTTATAGATAGAACATGTCTTACCCTTTTTCCCGTTGCTCTTGACTCTTTCAACACGACCAACAAATGTCACCAAACAGATGACATCACATGCAGAATTGTTGGATAATTCGTCCAACTGTAATCTGTAGGATACATACGACGAAGTTAAAGGGGACCTATCATGCAAAATGCACTTTTGTACGTCTTTTATACATGAATATGTGTCCCCGGTGTGTCAGGGAACTCACCAAGTGTCAGAAAACACAACCCTCTCTATTTTCCTCCATACCCAAATCTCTAAAAATGGAGAAAATTTAGCCCTTGCAAAAACAGGGCTAAAAAAGAGCAAATAGAGCGAAATGAGGCATGGCTAAAATGCATGATCTGTTTGGTATTTTGAAAAAAAAAACATATAGCATGATAGGTCCACTTTAAGCTATAGTTGGCAAAAAAAGCCCACAATTTATGAGACATTTTTTTTATATTAAACCTTGTGTTGAAGCAAAGAGAAGCGATGTAGTTCCTTGACACTAACTATTTTTTCAATGCTTTATCTCACCAATGTATGACTGAATTAACCTTTCTATTTTTAGGTGGGTTTAAATGTGTGGGTTGTTTCTCATAAAAAGGTGCAACTTTAAACTCAGACAATATCAGAATTCATATTTTTTTCCTTCAATAAATGACAACGCTTTTTTCAATGAAAGACACTTCACCCCAAAATTGCTCCTGTGGGGATTGTCCACAGTATTGAGTATGTAAGTCGCTTTGGATAAAAGCGTCGAACAAGTAACATGTAATGTAATGTTAAACTTTAGATTGACAAGTGAATCACCTGGTGGTGAACAGGTAGGAAACCTCAGGTAATCCCCACTGAGGCAGCACGCTCTTTGCTGAGACCACAGTGACGACTGAAGTTGGGTTGCGAGCGTTCAGGCAGATTTCTTGGGAAAATACAAATAAAGATATTACATTTAAGATTGTGCTGCACTCTGGAGTACCCGCCCTATCAGAATAAATGTGTACATACCTACAGAGTGAAAGGTCTTCATTTGGTGATGGTCCATTTGCGGGCGTGAGCGGTTTGAATAACTCTGCTTTAAGGAGTAATTTTGGATGTACAACACAGTGCCTACGCTCAGTTTCTGGTAAAACTCTGGACAAAGTTCATTCCAAAGCACGAGGGACATCGTGCCACTCTGGTCAGCAACTTCAAAGTATGCCTGAAATATGACAAAGACCCAATCGGTCACAGCATGATAGTGAGATCCTGTTCATATTGTGTTACTAAAGCTCAATTAGTTCAAACTCACCTGGAAGGGATAATCAATCTTGAGCCCAAACTTGCCATAGTACCTTAATCTGGATTTGTGTATGATCTTCACTAGGAGAGGCAGAGGTTTCCATGTGTTTCTAAAGCATGACTCCAGACTACTAAGAAGAGTAATATTGGAAACTGTTGAAAAGAAGACATTGCAGACATCACATCTTGAGGATTTATTTTCTGCAATTAATGTAAATTACATATCAAATACATTCTGTTAGGAGAAGCATTAGAGTGACTCATGTGACAGCTCATCGCATATATTCTAGTCAACAAATATCAAATTGGTTTCAAGACGTAAAACTACATATTGTCTAGGCTTGTGAGTATTTCCATATCTTAATACAACAGTATTAAAGGTAGTAGCTCAGTCTGTAGGGACTTTGCTCAGGAACCGAAGTGCCGCTGGTTTAATAGCGTGAGTGTGGACAGTTGAACCTCTTCCACCTCTCTACTCATGCATGTGGTCCTGTTTGTGCATGTGCGTTCATGTGTGTATCAAAAACAACATGTGTCATGTAAATAACATGAAAGTGAAACCCTGAAGTTCCCCCTAGGCCCTAGAGGATTAATAAAAGTCAGATTTTCTTTGTCTTTCTTTAAGTTGTAAACACATTTGATTGTTGAAGCAGACTGAAATAAACAATACTATTATGGGCTGCTTACTTAGCCATAATAACACAAAAGTCTCCCTGAGCCAGGCTGTTGTTCCCTCGTGCTTCAAGGAAACCACCATCATTCCAGTGCCAAAGAAGTCATCTCCATCCGGCTTCAACGACTACCGCCGCCCCGTCGCACTAACTTCCACCATCATGAAGTGCTTCGAAAGGCTGGTCATGAAGCAGATCAAATCCACCCTCCCCCCATCGCTGGACCCGTTTCAGTTTGCCTACCGAGCTAAACGGTCCACAGAGGATGCAATCTCCTCCGCTCTCACTAATGGCGCGTTTCCACTGCAGCGGGTAGCTCGCCTTAAGCGTGCCGAGCCGTGCGGGGCCCGTTTTTGGTTGCGCTTCCACTTGGCCTAGTTTTGGCCCGGGGCTACTTTTTCACCTTTCACCTTTCACCTTTCTAGGGCCAGGAACAACCAGGCTGAGTCGGGCTGAGTATGCTAAACTAGAGAGAGAATCGCTGGCAAGAGGGCTACAACTACAACAAGATGAACATATTTGACCGTGAATTAATTGTAATACACGTTTCAAAATGATGCCGAATTAACAACATACTGATACCGGTTAGTAAAAACCATGAATTAATGCTTTGACAAGTCTGCAGACAGACGGCAGGCGAAAAACCCTTTTAAAATGCGTGCTTTCTAAATGGAGCTTGGCTAAGCTAACGTTATATATGCTCCGACCGTCCACACTCACAACAACGGCCTATACAGACATAAATAAACCAGCGACTCGCCATGACACAGGCAGTCTGTGGTTTGTACTTGTTTAACTTTTGTCTAGTTTCTGAACAAATATGAAGAGCTGTGAGCTCTGAGTGCTAAGAGCTAACGGCTGTGTTGTTTTTTGGGGCGCTCATTGAAGATGACGTCACGGCTCCGCCTACACTGCGTTACTATAGTAACTACCCCAGTTCCTAAACTGTAATGGAAGCGCAGCATTAAAGTCAGCCGGGCCTAACCAGCTTCCGGATGAGCTTCCGGATGAAGTACAGGCGCTGCTGGGCTTTCCTCGCTAGTGCGGTGGTGTTGATTTTCCAGGTGAGGTCATCAGTGATGGTCACCCCAAGGAATTTGGTGCTGGTCACCTGCGTCACAGCAGCACCGTTGATGGTCAGGGGGAGAGGGGGTCGACGGTGGATTCTCCTGAAGTCAACAACTATCTCCTTTGTTTTCTCCAGGTTGAGGAAGAGGTTGTTATTTTGGCACCACAGGGCCAGCTGGTTCACTTCCTTCCTGTAGTTAGTCTCATCGTTGTTGCTGATGAGACCCACCACAGTAGTGTCGTCTGCAAACTTCGCGATGTGGTTGGTGCTGAAGATGGGTTTGCAGTCGTGGGTCAGCAGAGTGAAGAGAAGGGGGCTGAGCACACATCCTTGGGGGGCCCCGTACTCAGTATGAGGGTGTTTGAGGTGTTATTGTTGACCCGTACAGCTTGTGGTCTCTCTGTTAGGAAGTACAGCAACCAGTTACAGAGAGAGGGGCTGAGGCCCAGGTCTGTACGTTTTTTTACAAGCTGCTGGGGGATGATGGTGTTGAATGCTGAGCTGAAGTCTATGAATAGCATTCTGACATATGGGTCCTTAGTCTTTGGCGCGTTTCCACTGCAGGCCTCGCTCGGCCTCGCTCGGTTTGGTTAGGCCTTAGAGCAGGGGTCGGCAACAGGCGGACCGCGGTCCGGATCCGGACCCAGACGCCGACCTATACGGACCCGGAGCTATAATCAATACATTAATAGGGGATTTTTCGGCGCCTCCCGCTTTTTTAACGCTGATTTGGGTGACTTGTGTAATTCGTGGAGAACCGAAGAGTTTTCGTTTTGGGGGTGGGGGGGATGGAGTCAGTCCGACTGACGGACAACTTCTCACTTCAAAAAAGAAGAAGAAATCTATACCGCAAAAATAATTAAACAAGCGAGTGCCTGTTTTTCCTGGCCAAGGACAGGTTCCTTGAACACAACACGAGCGTAACGTGTCTTCACGTGGTATATGTCTCGTCTGAAAGGAGTGCTGACAGAGAGCACCGGAACGCCGCTTCAGCCCTTACAATATTGCAATACCCATAAGGAGCCGTACACTTGCCGCAGTGTTTGCGTGGCTGTGTCTTTAGTTGTAAGCACAGTGGCGATCTGTTGTTGTTAGCATCTGGTTAGCTAGCTATGCTAACGAATTTAAAGAGCTTTTCTACAACCAGGTGGAAGAGAGCTATCTCCTGAGAGGCTCAAATAACCTCAGCTTAGGGAGTGAGAGTGTGTTGCTCAGTGAGGTTAAGGCACACCTTGATATGATCATTATAGTTATTAATGAGACTAAATGAAAAACAGTTATAAAATACGATATGACAGTAACAAAAAAGTTGTTCAAAATAACAAGAATAAAGTTTAAAAGGGGAGTGATTTGTAAAATATCTAAAAAGAAAAATATGCTTACAGTTCTGTTTCATATGGGTGTTGAGAGATGTATCCATAGATCTCTTAATGTTGCTCTCAAAGTGTACTAGATTGATGCTTTTATCTTCAATATTTTAAAAAAAATCTTCCCGGGGGAGCTTGTCCCTGGACCCCCATAGAGGAGGTTAGGTCCACCCCTCACTTAAATCATGTTCACATGGATAGGATACTAAATACATTTGCACACATCTTGTGTCCATATCTTTCTGTTTTGGTGGTCATGCCACACCGTGCACGTGCATGCATGCGCGAGTCATGGTGAGATATCTGGATTTTTTTTGCTTTTTCTTTGCACAGCATGAAAGAAAGGCCAAATGAATGGGCTGTGATTTTAGTTTTTTTAAGCAAAGGTTGAGTTCAATAATTTGTACGACCCTCGAAGGATGTTGTAAAAATTGAAAGGAAAAAGGTTCCCCACCCCTGCTGTAAATAATAATAAAAACCCTTGATTTGTAACTTAACATCTCTGTCTCCTATTGATCTGAGTATATTATAAAGAATAGTTAATTGAAGCATTATAGCACAGGCCTTTGTCAGATGGTATATTACGCTGTTTCTTTTCTGCTTCGAATAGTTCTCTCTTTTTTCACCATACCTGTGTTTGCATCACTGTAACCAATGAACACCTGCATGTGTGTATGAGAATACAGCCCTGACTCCATGTCAGCCCAGATTTACAAACTCCTGGCAGGACAAGCTCGAGCTCAATTCTCACACTGAATTTAAAAAAAGTGAGTGAGGGACTGCAATATAAGAGGGAAAGAAAGAGAAACTTTAAACTGTTCAATTGTTATGATGTAAAGACTGATATTGTTCTACAATCGGCTGAAACTGTTAAGTCATGATGTGAAACGGTTAACAAAGAAAAAAGGAAACTCAAGCTGCTGCTACACTTTATTTTATTTATCTAAAATTAAGCACTTTTAAGATGCACATATTTTCAAAAGCTATTTTATTTATTTTCTCTATTTTATTTGTAAATGCAGCCCGAGAGGAACATTACACATATCCACAGTATTTAAGTAATGTTAATTGACAATAAATATTGTTGTTTTTGAATTGTACTTTCTTTATTTGATTGGCAGTCAGTTGTTGATTACATGCAGACGTTGATAAAGCTACATGTCACTTCAATATATATCACACTAATTCATGAAGCAAGTTAGACATGTATTATCTTTTCAATTTACACACGGCATCTATTGCACGTCTGTCCGTCCTGGGAGAGGGATCTTTCCTCTGTTGCTCTCCCTGAGGTTTCTCCCATTTTTCCCTTTTAAACTGTGGGTTTTCTCTGGAAGTTTTTCCTTGTACGATGTGAGGGTCTGAGGACAGAGGGTCTAAGGACAGAGGGTCTAAGGACAGAGGGTGTCGTATTGTCATTCTGATATTCTGTACAAACTGTGAAGTCCACTGAGACAAATGTAAAATGTGTGATATTGGGCTATATAAATAAACATTGATTGATTGATTGATTGATTGATTGGACATTTTGATGTTCCGGACCTTTGCATGCTGAGATTTTCTCTAACTGGACCTCGTTGAATTTTAGTTGAAGACCCCTGCCTTAGAGCATCACCCCCCATCGTGCTGTATTTTATCGAGGCGCCACCGAGAGCATCCTCAGCAGTAGGGATGCACCGAATATTCGGCCACCGAAAATTATCGGCCGAAAATGGTTAAAAAGGCCCTTTCGGCTTTTTGACCTTTGTCATCGAGATTGCCCTGAGCCTTTAACAAATCGTATTAAATAATCTGATGACAGACTGTAAACAGAATAGCTGACATTTTAACAAACTAAATAACTCAGTTTCCTCTAATCATTAACCCATGTTTGTATAATGTAGTTAACTCCGTGTGTTGCTGCTAGCATACATAACACCTGACGTGGAAACGTTACTCGTGGATGGGGCTACAGAGCTGCTAGAAAGACGGTCGAACCCGGTGCATTCCTCCGTCTGCATGCGGTGCACTTTTGCTAAATGTTTAGACAAATTGCTCGTGCTTACATGCTAAACTCTTATTGCACTTATGGTAACAAGTATTCTCCACATCGAGACAGGTAAAGTTTAACCACACCTCGAAGCGCCTTCTCTCCGCCATCTCCGCAGTGTGCTCCGCTGCATGTAGCAGCTGCGTGTGTGTAAACTGCCCCGCCCCCTCGCACACAGACGGGGGAGAGAGATCTCGTCTGATCGAAAATACATCATAGACGCATTTGTTGTCTTTGCATATTAGAAACGAGTTGGCGACACTAAGACTGCGATATAATGTTTTTTAGCAATAATACATGACATATATAAATGTACTGTATGCATTCAAAAGTGCTGAATAAATGTTTTATGGACCCATACTAGTGATTATTATTTAAGTTAGGTTTTGCCATAATCATGTCTATTTCCATAATCAGGTAGCTGAACAACATTGGTAAACAATGTATACATTATATATATATATTTCTATTAATCATTTTCGGCCTTTCGGCATTCGGTTTTCGGCCAACTGTTTCCTATTTTCGGTATCGGTTTCGGCCAAGAATTTCCCATTCGGTGCACCCCTACTCAGCAGCTGTATCACGCTGTGATTTGGAAGCTGCACCGCCGCCGACCGCAAGAGCTTGCAGCGCATAGTGAACTCTGCCCAGAGGATCATCGGTGCCTTGCTCCCCTCACTACAGGACATATACAACACCCGCAAAGCACTCGGCATTGTGGGTGACTCCACCCACCCAGAGCTCGAGTTTAAGGGCGTCCCGTCGTCGAAAAAAATAGTGTCGGGGAGGATAAAAAATTATTTTGGGACGAATTTGGGACGAGAGTTAAAATAAAAATACCCTGCTAACTCTACTACAAATGGCGATGAAAATGAAACCGACTGCACGTTTTGTGTAGCACATTAAACCTCCTTGTCAACATAAACACACACGCACAAAACATTTAGAAACCCACGAAATACACACACATGTAGCTACAGCTGTGCCGCTGGCTGTCAGCCAGCCGCCCAGCTGGCTGTGCCCGCGAATTCCTGGCCCGCAGGTCTAGCTATGTAGGCTACTGAGTGTGTGTATTTCGCGGGTTGAGTGATGTACAATGGCATCCCGTGGACCAATTCTGAAATGTTTTACCGTTACATCACAAAAACGCACAGCAGAACCAGATCCTGGAGCGCCGGCCTCTTTATTTACTTACTCCTCTTCATCCCCTATGGGCAATAAGGCTGAGAAGATAACTCTCCATCGTATTTAGCCCTTAGCAATATGCTGCGCCTCTCCCCATGTAGGGATGGGTACCGAGCCCCGGTATTAAACGGGCCGGAATTATTAAAGACAGTGGTAACGTTAAGCTCCGACGTTATCGGACTTTTTATCGGTACTGGAGACATTTAAAAAATATATGTCATATGTATTATTGCTACATACACATTATATCGCAGTTTTAGTTTCACCAACTCCGTTTCTAATATGCAATAAGACTACAACATGCGTCTATGATGTATTTTCGAGCTTTCCAATCCAGACGAGATCTCTCTCTCCCGTCTGTGTGCGAGGGGGCGGGCAGTTTGTAAAGGTCTCCTGACTGTGTTACAGACTGTCCTCCTGGTTAGTGGTTACTCTGGGTTCTGTCTTCAGGACACAGTGTTGGATTTTTTTGTTAATTGGATGGGACTTGATTCAATATTAGAGTAATTTTCTCGTTTGTGTAAATATATTTGGCCTTTGTTTATGTGATTGAATGAATTTACTCAAATAAAAAGGTTAATGAATTATCATCTAATGATTTGTATGATGTTTTATTTATGTTAAAGGTCACTTTGAATGATTTTAACTAATGATAATGTAGAAAAACTAACATTTTAAATTCGGGACGGTCCACATTAATTTCGGGACGGCTTAGATTGTATTTCGGGACGATGGGGAACAAAGTTAGTCGAGAGCCCTGTACCCACCCCTCCAACACCCTCCTGCCTTCAGGAAGAAGGTTCCGCAGCCTCAGCTCGGGCACCGTCAGGCTGGGGAACAGCTTCCTCCACCAGGCGGTCAGGATGCTGAACTCTCTCCCCTCCCTCCCTCCCCCCTCTGACATCTCTCCCCTGAACTCTCCACCCTGCCTCCGACCTTTCTCCCCTGCCCCAAATGGTCCTGGACTCTCTCTCACACACACACACACACACACACACACACACACACACACACACACACACACACACACACACACACACACACACACACACACACACACACACACACACACACACACACACACACACACACACACACACACACACACACACACACACACACACACACACACACACACACACACACACACACACACACACACACACACACACACACACACACACACACACACACACACACACACACACACACACACACACACACACACCTCATCCAGCACCAGTCACTTTTCTGCCATCTCCGCTGAACACTTTAACATATTATTAACATTTTAAACTGTATAACCCGGTTATCTAGGCCCTTTTTGTTTTGTTGTTGTTGTTTGATGTATATATGTCACACTGTAGGACCTCGAGAAACGATATTTCTGGATGTACAACATGTAGAATTCTTGACAATAAAGCTGACTTTGACTTTTTGAAGTCAAATAATTATCTCCACACATTTTAGACTTTTCTGCCTTTTTGTGATTTACATTATAACAAAGTCAAACGTATCTATCCTGTGTATTTGACTGTTGGTCAGACAAAACATATTCTGAATGCTCAAATATGTGTAGTGACATTTCCATTGATCATTTTCGTCCAGCCCTTAGTGGTGTATACAAATGTAAGCCATGTTGTAAATAGAGCAGTGTATGACAGGGGGTCATCAGAAAGTCTCACCATCCAGCACTGTGTGCGATGAGGGAGACCCTGAGGTCCAGATGTCCCCCTCTGGGTCCTCGTTGTTCCACAGAGACAAGTAATGTTTGCGGCTCACCTGGAGGGGAACATCACTTTGCAGCTCCACACTCCTCTCCATGCCTTGCTTTACCATCATCGGCAGAGAAGCGACGTCCTGTATGCGGGGAAGGAGGGCAGACATCTCTCCTCCACATCGGAGCTTTTCAATACAAATGTAACCGTGTCCCAGTCTCCTCTCGCTGTAAACAAACGAGCACTGTGTGATGCTCACGTCAGTCCCAGTCCTCAGGGTGTTAGAGTGCACCAGGTGATTTAAAGCAGGGTGAACAGAGCATTTGGCCCGCCACACTCCGTCAGTGACCGTCACGTCGTAGCTGTCGGGCTGCCCCTCCGGCTGATCGGATAAGTACCGCTGCAGCGCGATGACAGCCACCGGAGCCTCGGTGCTCACTTTCAGACACTGTGTGGAGGAAAGCCGCTCCAACGTCCTCTGGAGGAAAGACGCTTCAGAAAGAGCAGTGCCAGCCGAGGAACAAGACGAGTTATCTTCCATTGTATGTATGTCAACTAGTTATCGAAATATGTCATGTTAGCTTGTTGGCTAACTAACTTCTTCCTACCCTTATTAGCATCAATGTCGTAACTGACGCAGATAAATAAGTAATGTCAGATCAATGGAAAAGTATATTTATCTTTCCACAATAACTATACAATATTAAATATGTATCGGTGTCGTACAAAGTCGTTGCCGTTGATTAACCGTTATTTACAAACAACGCGGGTGTTTCCTCTTCTTCGTTGGTTTTACTGGCAGACTACAGATCAACGTTTCGTTAAAGTGCATGACTCCATCTACTGTGCCGGAGTGTTAAAACACTTTTTGTTTTGGCCTTTACTTGTAAATTATCTTTTGTCCGTGTCTCTGTATATATGTGACACTGTATCCTTCATTTTTCCTGATAAATTGAAGGATCAAGTGATCCTTATATAAATCCTCCAACTTTTAAATATAAATAAACTGTGTAAAAACCATAGACTGTATAGGGTAAAAACAGACGGAGACAATTTTTCTGCACAATAGGTAATCTTACTTTTGATGTTACCGAACTTCACTTGTAATGTTTTCACCACTGACTTAATTGTATGATCTGCCAAACAGAGTGAGAAGACCGAAGCCTAATTTCTAAATAATGCTGCAGGTTGTTGACCTAAAAGAAAGAGACACATGTTTTGTTTTTTATATACATTTATTCAGCAAATAAATAACAAGATAGCTTTATAGATGCTGGGAAATAGATAAAAAATGTTCTACACAGGTCACAAACAGAACATATCATTATAATCAGTAGAAATACTTTTATAACACAGCAACCAAACAAATGCAGCTTTTTCTAGACATGTATCTTATGCATAGCTTCTTTTTCTTCTCACAGTGCGAATGTGAATGATAGCAGCCAGGTAAAGCTTGACAAGCGCGGCCATTTTTGGTTTACTGTCAAGACATTAAGCTGTGTGCAGAAGCTTGAAGCGGCCACGATGGAAGAGAAAATAAGAGCTTCGCAAATTGTGGTCTTATTTAGTTGTATTAAACCAAGACTTAATGATTACACTTTTTCTGGAGATATTAAATTCAGTTTTTTTTAATGATCTGGTCTTAAATGAATAGTCCGACACATTTTATCAACTTGAGGGTTGTAAAATAAATGGAAGCAGCAAAGTTAGAATAGACAACTGTCTGCCACCTTGTTCTTCTTGATATGACAACCAGATGGTAGTAAGTATAAGTCAAGATTTTTCTAAACTTGCACAGTGTGACATAAAGAATATCTCTGGAGATACAACAAATCCTGTGAAAAAGATTAACATACAAGTATTGTTTGTGTAACAAAGCCTGATTAAAACAATGAGCCGCACTGTTGCACATCATGAGACAGTCGAACTTCACTGGATTTGTTTACCATAGTAAAGTTATAAAAGTATACATTTTAAAACATTTCCTCCCACATCATTTTACAGAATGACTTATTCTCCACTCAATTCAGTAACCTTTTCCCATGACCGCCTGCATCTCCCTCTAGGTTTTACGATTGCATTGGAACGGTCTGCCACAAACTTAGGCAACAAAAAAAAAGTGATTTCATTGTAAATTTCACAACATCTAGTGACTTCCGGTGCTATTTGGAAGAGCCAGAGTTTGACCTGTGGATGCTGACTCTCTTGCAGGTGTTGTCGCTGCAGCGCTCCAGGATGAGCTCCGGACTGGGCCGGGGGGGGATAACCGGAGCATCCCTCTTCAGCTCGCTCTCTGAGCCAGACGTGGACTGCTCGGGAATGTTGTCTGTTGGTAGCAAATAACAACATTATTAGAAGTGTTAAGAGGCTTTGTGGGTTGATTGTTTCAGTGAGTGTTGGAATTTAACTACGTACACTTACTTAAAAATCTGAGGTTCTTGTACTTAACTTAAGTATTTCCCTTTTAGGTCACTTTGACTTCTACCACACTACATCTCAGGGACACATATTGTACTAAAATGTACATTAATGATGCAGTATTCTCATTTAGGTGTTTAGATTTCAATGCATAAAGTTTAGTATATCTGTAACAGTTGACTAGATATATATAATTTAAAAAGGTGAGTGTTTACTTCTTCCCCATACTTTTCATATACTTATTTATGTTTTTTTTTACATATAACTATAGTGGAGTATTATAACAGCATGGTATCAGTACTTTTATTTCAGTAAATGATCTGAGCAGTTCCTTCCACCACTGGTGCACTTTGTTTGATCGATCTGAACACAACATGAACGTTACCCTGGTTCTTCCTCTCCCTCAGGGGTGACTTTGCGGTGGTCTTGGAGTTCTTGCGGGGCTCTGCCAGGCAGCCCCCTTTCTGCTGGAGGTAGCGGCGGCTGTTCCTGCGGTAACTGTCCTGGCTGAGCCGCTGACGGGACTTGTTGTGGATGCTCTTCGCATTTCTGATGGTGGATCTGAGACGGAAAATGCCACAGAGATTTGTAAAGGTAAGTAAAGGTGGTGAGTGTTGATGGGGGCTGAACTATTGGGGGGGAAAAACTATTTGTTATTTTGACTGATATTGCAATTATAACATGATTCATATTATCAAGGGAATTTATCATTTTGCTTTGTTATTCTTATTAACATTGAATAATATAATAATATAAGACTTTGAGGCTTTTCAAAGACTGACCTACATTCTATGTCTTTGCTATTTGTCCTAAGGAATATTTGATTTTTGTTTAACAGAACTCTGCTCATAATATGAAGCACAGTGATTGGAATGTCAGAGGAAAATTATTAAGACTTCAAAAGGGTATAAAGAAGAGTTCCCAAAAACATTGAATGATATAATAAATGATTAGTGTGATTTTCAAAAGAGGGTCTCTACCAAAAACATATGTTATGTCCTTAGAGTGTGATTTGTATGCTGGGACATCTCTGCAGCTCCACAATATTTGTACATATATCTAGCCTTAATAAATATTGTTCTTCATGCAATTTGAATATTGCACTTGTCCATATTGTGCAGCCCTAGTGTTGATCTCGTGATAGTTTTTCTCCTCCCAGCTTCAACATTTGAGTGCTGAAAAAACATGCATTTTATTCACTATTTTCATTTGACAGCTTTAGTTACCTTACAAATTTGCAGTTACAACGTATTTATATGGAAAAGTGATTTGTTAAATAGAAAACAATCAATCTTTTGAAGAGTGGAGATTAAAATAAGACTACTCTATATTTTGCGTTCACTGACGTACCTGCGGGGGGGAGGTTTCTGTCCCTGCAGGTTTGTCCGCTGTGCTTCATATATCTCCCTCTTGCCGGCCTTGTGCAGGAATATGGAGGGGAAATGTCCGGTCTCATCTCCTTTCCTGTAAAAATATCCAGATTTATTTATAAGCACCACAGTAGGATTAATAATTAAATAATAGCTGAAGTCCTTCTGTTCCTCCTTGGGGAGATTTGATTTTGTTATTATAAAGATATTATGAATATATCCACATAAATATCAGTTTGTGTAGACCATACCTGACGACCCACCAGCCGTCAAGCAGTTTGTGGATGACGGCGACGGTTTCCCCGCTCTCCAGAGAGATCTCGTCCTCCAGCTCTGCCTTGTAGGCTCTGGTGCTGACGTGCATCTCTCCTGCAGGGACACACAGCACTGTTAAAAAGACACACATACTGAAAATACATTATTTAATGAAGAATACAAGGAACACAACTTACCTTCGTAGTCCGGATCAGCCTCCTCGGCTTCATCCGGTCCGTCCAGCGGCTCCAGGTAAGACGCAGGGATCCAGCCTCGATTAGACTCACACTGGCAGAACCACCACCCTGAACACAAGAGCAGCTTAAGACCGGGCCTCATTCATTAAAGATAAACATAACGTAAACATGATTGAATAATAAACGGAGTGTCTTTACTTAGTTGACACAAAAGGAAAGAGGAATTTTGAGTTGACCTCTTAACACAAAAAATGGTTTTAGGGCCTTTAAAACCTGACTGAGTGCTTCTGTTTCATGCTTCAATAGACCATAATTAATCAAAATCATCTAATTCTTTATAAAAGAGTATCATGAATTAGTATTCAACTTTTTCAGCTCTTCCTTGAACAATTTAATGAATGAGGTTAAAAGTGAGTCTTACCCAAGAATTAGTATTGTCATAAACTTTTGGAAGGTCTGTTTTGTTTAGGGAAGTTTGGCTGCGGTTGTTTTAGCATTCTCACCGTTTGGATTTTTCTCCACGATTTCCACCAGGTCTCCAGTGTGCAGATTAATCTCATGTTTAGACGTCTTCTCGAAGTCAGCGATCACTCTGTACGTGTCCAAAATGATGGGGCCAGAAATCTCTGAGAGGTAAAACACATAATTATCTGTTTTAATAAAAATGTTTAATGTGTATTTAAACAACCCTAATGCTTAAAGGGCACTTATTTGGACAATTTCAAAAATGAATCCACAAGCTGCAGCCTGTACGCTACAAATAAATATATAAATGCAAAAGAATATAAATCTAACATCTTTCAATAACCTTGGGAAAGACAACGACAAAAATACATGTTTTAAGCATTTATTACATTTAAAATGACTTACCAGAAACGTTGCCTCTGTACGACTCCTTGTTCACCACAAAGGTTTCGCTTTTTTTCACTCTGAAGAGGACATTTTAATTGAATTTAGTACTAATTACTGGGTGATTGAGTTTTACATTTGGAAGTGATACATTTCCATGTGTGACACATCCTCTGTAATGTGTGTGTTGTACTGACGGGTTCAGGGCAGGAGGGTTCTCGTCCTCGGGTCGGACCTTGAAGAAGTTGGTGAGCTGTTTGCTGCGGGAGATGTGAGGCGGTAGGTTGATGAGCGAGTGGCAGTACTCCGACAACGTGCTCTGCCTGGTCTCTGGGGACTTCTCACTGATCAACCACCGTGGAGCTGCACAGATAAAACATAAGTCCCAAGTACAATTTAAATAATACCGACAGACTTATAGACAGGTTTAACTGTGAAAGAAAACACGTTATCAGCAGAAACTCAAGACTGCAGTATCAGTTTTAGACTTTATGAAATAGTGTTATTGACTAGGGTTGCAACAGTATAATTTATATATAAATCTCAAAAGAGTGGTGCAGGAATGCGTCCTAAAACCTGATAATGAGTTAGCATTTTACCACTTTAAATTCCCTCATGTTGAAGTCAGCAGTTTTAAGAACCTACAACATAAAATACGCCACTCATGAATGCCCACATGTTCTATGTGTCT